GGGGGGGGGGGGGGGGGGGGTCCTGAAGCCTAAAAAACCACTCTGGATCCACCACTGAGGTATGTCGTTATCCTTTCCAGATTTAGATTGGTTTTAACGAGGACCAAAGAATTTAAAAGCTAGTTCCATCCTCACTTGATAGAGAACATTAAGGTTACATACTAGCTTTATTTGTTATGTCTTCCGGGTTATCTCCCATAAAAAAATCCAAATTGCATCCTTATTGCATCATTACCAACTAATACTTAATTAAGTATTATTGATACACTGTCTCACAATTCGTGTGCACCATTGAAATGTTTCACCATTAATAAAATTAAAGAAATCATAACCAAATTTTCTGGAAAGGAGAAATATAAGAGTAAAGTATAGCTGATATATCCTCAAGTCAGATTTAATAATTCTAAGAGAAAGTAGATATCAGTTAGTGCTTCTGATCTTGGTTTGATAGATCGAATAAAAAAAAAGGATTTGGCCTACTTAATTAGAACTGAGACATGTAAATGTGAATTTGTGACAACTATATTTGGACCTTAACAAAGGTGTTTATAGTAATTTTACATGTTTAAGGGGTTTAGATCGACTTTCTGTAAAAATGATACCCCCAATGATCAAATATATGATCATTGGGGGTTTAGTTTAGGTCCAAATATAGCTGTAATAAATTATCTGGTACCTATAAGTGTTATATACGTCTCTGGTTAGAAGAATATTTTTTTCCCATTTGCTCACATACAACTAAAACGCAAAAGCTATATGTATTTGTATATGCACGAAATTATATTATCTAAGTCCCTGGTACACAAGTATATATGTGAAAAGAATACTTTATGAGCTCTACCTGGAATGCAGGAGTTACATAGCGTCTATATATAGAACGCATATTAAATAGTATTCATGGGAGATAACTCGTACATTTGATCTAGGAGTTGGCCAAACGCCAGAATGTTACAAAGTGATGGTGCAATGCCGTTAATTCTATATTAAACCAGCATGTAATGGTTTTCCAACTATCATCAATAAATAGGCACTTGTTTTGCGCAATACCAGTAGACGGACTTCGTAAGCTCACTAGTACAGAACTATACACAGGTATATATTTGTATTTATAAAGTATTCACAAAATACATACATATTAAAGTACACTGTTACACATTCAAGACGCTTATAAGATAATGTGTTTGTTTATATATGAATGAGTACATGCTTGATAACCGTAACAGGGTAAATAGTATAATACCACTGGATAATATATGTACATTTTACGCATGTGTAAATAAAAGTATATATATGTCCATTAAATTTAATAAGCTATTTATAAACTTCACGATGTAAACATAATTAACAGATTCCGATTTTTTACAAATCGAAAACAGAAAAAAAATATGTAATGCCGTTAAAAAGGGCACCAACCACCCGTTTGTTGCTGTTGTTGTTTTTTTCTTCTTGGTTATCAAATTATTGTGGACTAATATCATACAGACAGAGTTTCAAATAATTAGAGATATTAAGACATATATATGATTTAAAATAGACTTACCTCGCATAGCCGCTCTCTGGATAATATGTCATTGTGATTTTAGATGGATAAATATTAATGAACACTGGGCCGCCACTATCAACTCTGTCCAAGCAACACTGACACACTTTTCTATTACTCAGTATTAGGACGTCAAGAGCATGTGTATCGATAATAAAATCTATATCTACATGTGAACGAACAATATATAATGCTCTAATCACAATAAGTTCGGTTCAACAAGCATTCTGACTATCTGATTAAAATGATGTTTTACGTACGAAGTATTTGATTAATTTGTTCAACGCTCTTTATCAACTTCAGACACTAAATCCTATACCTACTGATAATGGATCCCATGGAGAACACAGATCAAGAACTGGATTATATTGAGGAGTCGGAAGATGAAACCACTACCCCCGAGAAAACTGACCCCATCCCCGGCGGCAGTATGAGAGGGGAATATGTTTCTATGCACAGTTCAGGGTTTAGAGACTTCCTTCTCAAACCGGAACTGCTCAGATCGATCGCCGACTGTGGATTTGAACATCCTTCACAAGGTAAACCTTAACCATAGACTGCTTGATGGAAGTGGATCACCGACGCAAGAAAGAATTTATGATAAGATGAAAATCCTTTCTTGTCCTTCGTTTTGTCTTGGTGGTACTTTATATAAGGCAGAAAGGCCTAGCGGAAGATCTGACAGATTTATGTTTTTATTCTATATTTTCCTTCGCAAAGACTTGTTTATTTATTATCTAATATACAAATATATATATATATATAGTCTGAAGAATCTCCTAGAAGAGATGAAAGTACTGAGAATTTTTTCTTTTTATAATATATATACATGATCTTACACGAGTTACTATTGCATATGAGGTTTATGAGACGATTCTCGGAATTTTCCATTTTAAACTGAATTCTTGATGAGATAAAGCAATCTCGTATGAAATGGAAACTTTCATGTGCTTTTTATCACATCAAAAGTCCTAATTAAGTCTTTCATAAATTGCATATTATTTTAATTATAGATAACTGACAATGTTTTATCTTTACACAGTTCAGCACGAGTGCATTCCTCAAGCGATTTTGTCTATGGATGTGTTATGCCAAGCGAAGTCTGGTATGGGAAAGACCGCTGTCTTTGTACTGGCGACACTTCAGCAGCTGGAGCCTGTGGACGGGCAGGTGAGCTTAGTGTTAATTTATAATTCATCTTTTTTATTACAAAAAGTAATGTATCTACCTTTCCTGGCAGACGACATTATTACTAAAAATAAATCTTTAATAATAAATAATAAAAGCAGCAGGCTAAAATAAAGAACGATATTAAGATCCATGTCTGACTCTTGGTGATTGGCTACACCGTGATATACTTTGAAACTTGGTACTTTGTACAATTTGTCGATTATATGCGCACTTCCTATCGGAACAAACGTATTTTGGACGCTTAGTATTCAGGTAATCATAAATAATGCCTTTTTGGTCAGTTACACGAATTATTTTGTGAAAATTAAAACACTGGGTATATGTATTTATTTCAACATGTGTTTATATCTTCTTTCAGGTCTCCATCATTGTTTTGGCACATATCCGAGAACTTGCCTTCCAGATCGCAGACGACTACCGAAAGTTATGTCGTCATATAAACAATGTGAAGGTCGCTGTATTCTTCGGAGGAATCCCTATCAAACGTGACGAGGAGGTGCTGTCCAAGAACTGCCCCCACATTGTCATAGGAACCCCTGGTCGTATCTTAGCCCTGGCTCGGAAAGGGGCACTGAAGTTAGGGAACATCCGCCATTTTGTTCTAGATGAATGTGACAAGATGCTAGAAGTATTAGGTAAGTTATTTGCCCCTGTATAATTTATGGACAAAGTTGTTTGCAATTCAACAACAAAAGCGTGAATATATTGTGGTAGTGATATATTGTGCACTAAAATGAGTAGTTTCGACCATCACGTGATCAGGAAGTCCATCGTCGGCTTCCTTGCATCCTCAAAATTTCTGGGGTTACGTATGAGTGCAGAGAACGAAGAGATCGTAACCCATGGAATTTCGAGTATTGCTTCCTTGTGGCACATATATATATATATATCAATTTAACTATCTATTGTTTCTCTTCTTTATTACCAAGTGTCTGTACGATGTATAAAATATTATAATTCCTACTTTCACAGGCATGCGAAAAGATGTCCAGGAGATATTCAAGATGACGCCACATGAGAAGCAGGTCATGATGTTCAGCGCCACCTTGGGGAAGGAATCTCGTCTTGTCTGCAAGAGGTTCATGCAGGATGTAATTATACAGAATTCGTTATATCACACTCTCCTAGTCCTAGACGACTCCAATCATCATTCCACACGTCACCATTCTTCTAAACGCTGCCATAATGAACCTGCCCGTCGAATACCCTCCATGTCATCTGGTTTTGAACTTTGGCCGATTATCAAATGAAGAATACCACCATAGGATCCAGTGGGTACTTCGTGTCTCGATGCTAATACTACTGGTGTGAAGTTGGACCAATCATTTGATTCCTCCGCGGAAATGACTGAATCATCGCTACAAATTGCCATGGATAACAAGTCATTCGTAATGGCACCGTCTAGCATGACTTACGTGGCAGCTATCAACGTGACGGACGTTTCGTTACTTCAACCCGGGCATCCGTAGTTCCTTCCCTCCTTCATTGTAATGGTCAAAATTTAAATCAGAATATTGACCTCTCGGTTCGACTTGAAAATTTACCCAGCACTCGTCGTGGTTGGGAACATCGCGGTACTAAATTGATCATTTGTCTTTTATGTTGTATGCTTCATGTAACTACGAAAGGAAACAAAAAAGTGTACCGAAATGTTAACAAAATCGTAATTTGAACTCATAATCGACAAAGCTAGGGCAAAATATGGACAAAGGAAATATTTACACGGAAACCTTTGCAAAATTTCAGAGGGAATAAGATCAAGTCCACCTGACAGGAATGCGTCATCTGATTACGTGAAATTGCTAAATGTTCTTGGAACCAGTTTTTATTACCTCCCCGGTATTTTCTAAACACCAAATCAACCAAGTGAAGAAACCAGCTATTTTTTTATTCGGGACCATTTCGGCTGTGAAATATTATGGAACTATTCGGTTTTGAATTTAACGAAACGCAGACGTGAATTTACGCTGGTGAGATTAACCAACCGCACTTATACATCGACAATAATTACCGTTGAAATCATACAGAAACGCGATCGAGTGTGGATTACGAACCAAAAACTAGCTATAGATAGGCATAAATGGATTACTAATACTGTAGGATCCGTTCAATACCCCAGGTATTGTGGCCTGGGGCATCGGCTTGTCATACATTGTGAAGTATGAGCATCACATTGTCAAATACCTCCGGTATTGTAGCCTGGGGTAGCGGCTTGTCACACATTCTGAAGTGTGGACATCATGTTGTCAAATACCCCAGGTATTGTGGAATGCGGGCATCGGCTTGTCACAAATTGTGAAGTGTGGGTATCCTTTTGTCCATTATCCCGGGTTTTGTGTCGTGTGGGCATCGCCTTGTCAGAAATTGTTGAGTGTGGTCGTCATACTGTCATATACCCCAGGTATTGTGGAATGTGGGCATCAGCTTGTCAGAAATTCTAAAGTGTGGACAACATATTGTCTAATACCCAATGTATTTTGGCCTTGGGCATTGGTTTGTTAGAAATTGTGAAGTGTGTGCATCCTATTGTCCTAGACCTAAGGTATTGTAGAATGTTGGCATCAGATTGTAAGAAATTGTGGAATGTAGGCATCAGATTGTAAGAAATTGTAAAGTGTGGGCATCATATTGGCACATTATGTATACTATAAAGGAACGATACATTGTATATGGGTTTACTAAAGGGCGACGATACATTGTAGATGAGTTTACTATAAAGTGACGATACATTGTAGATAAGTTTTAATATAGAGGGACGATACATTGTAGATAAGTTTACTATAGAAGGACGATACATTGTAGATGAGTTTTAATATAAAAGGACGATACATTGTAGATGAGTTTTAATATAAAAGGACGATACATTGTAGATAAGTTTTAATATAGAAGGACGATACATTGTAGATAAGTTTACTATAGAAGGACGATACATTGTTAATAAGCTTTACTATAGAGGGACGATACATTGTAGATGAGTTTTAATATAGAGGGACGATACATTGTAGATAAGTTTGATATAGAAGTACGATACATTGTAGATAAGTTTGATATAGAAGTACGATACATTGTAGATAAGTTTGATATAGAAGGACGATACATTGTTAATAAGCTTTACTATAGAGAGACGATACATTGTAAATAAGTTTGATATAGAGGGACGATACATTGTATATGAGTTTTAATATAAAAGGACGATACATTGTAGAAAAGTTTTAATATAGAAGGACGATACATTGTTAATAAGCTTTACTATAGAGAGACGATACATTGTAGATAAGTTTGATATAGAAGTACGATACATTGTAGATAAGTTTAAATATAGAAGGACAATACATTGTAGATAAGTTTACTATAGAGGGACGATACATTGTAGATAAGTTTAAATATAGAGAGACGATACATTGTAGATAAGTTTGATATAGAGGGACGATACATTGTAGATAAGTTTACTATAGAAGGACGATACATTGTAGATAAGTTTACTATAGAAGGACGATACATTGTAGATAAGTTTAAATATAGAGGGACGATACATTGTAGATAAGTTTAAATATAGAGGGTACATTATAGATAAGCTTTACTATAGAGGGACGATACATTGTAGATGAGTTTACTATAGAAGGACGATACATTGTAGATAAGTTTGATATAGAAGGACGATACATTGTAGATAAGTTTACTATAGAGGGACGATACATTGTAGATAAGTTTAAATATAGAGGGCCGATACCTTGTAGATAAGTTTAAATATAGAAGGACGATACATTGTAGATAAGCTTAAATATAGAGGGACGATACATTGTAGATAAGTTTAAATATAGAAGGACGATACATTGTAGATGAGTTTAATATAGAAGGACGATACATTGTAGATAAGTTTACTATAGAAGGACGATACATTGTAGATAAGTCTTACTGTAGAGGGACGATACATTGTAGATAAGTTTAAATATAGAGGGACGATACATTGTAGATGAGTTTAATATAGAAGGACGATACATTGTAGATTGGTTTACTATAGAGGGACGATGCATTGTAAATAAGCTTTGCTATAGAGGGACGATACATTGTAGATGACTTTTACTATAGAGGGAAGAAACATTGTATTGTAGGAAACAGTACGTTGTAATATAAAAACTTTGTTATAAGTAGTACATTTTGTGAAGTAGCCATATGGAAAACATTTCATATTTATAGTTTGTAAGGTAGAAGAGGTACATTTTGTGAAGTAGTCATATGGAAATCATTACATTGTTATAGTTTGTAAGGTAGACAACGGTACATTTTGTGAAGTTGTAATATGGAAAACATTACATTGTTATATTTTGTAAGGTAGAAAACGGTACATTTTTTTAGGTAGTAATATGGAAAAAAATACATATTTATAGTTTGTAAGGTAGAAAACGGTACATTTTTGTGAAGTAGTGATGTCGAAAACACTTCAAAATAATAGTTTGTAAGGTAAAAACGGTACATTTTTGTTAAATAGTAATATGGAAAACATTACATATTGATAGTTTGTAGAGTAGAAACGGTACATTTTTGTTAAATAGTAATATCGAAAACATTACATTGAGTTAGTTTGTAAGGTATAAACGGTACATTTTTGTTAAATAGTAATATCGAAAACATTACATAGTTATAGTTTGTAAGGTAAAAGCGGTACATTTTTGTGAAATAGTAATATCGAAAACATTTCATTGTTATAGTGTGTAAGGTAGAAACGGTATATTTTTGTTAATTAAGGATTAACTTCAATATATTTTTTATGCTATGGAGATATAATACAAAAAAACGGACTGTACTCTAAATAACGCGAAGCGGTTTATGATGAAAGTACATTCCGGTTTTTTGTGTTATATATAGCTCCATAATATAAAAAATATATTCAAGTTAATCCTTATAATTGAATCTACTATACACAATCCCTGCGGAAATCCACCTTTATTGATGGACTCTTTTCTCTTAGAAATTATTACGCCGCTGTATCAGCCAATCAAAAATGACGTTACAAACGGCGACATCATTTTTTTTACTTTATTGGCTGATAACCTAAATTTTTAAGCCAATGAAAATGTTACAAGCAAGATTAAATTATGTAGTAATATATAAAACATTACATTGTTATAGTTTGTAAGGTAAAAACGGTACATTTTTATTAAGTAGTAATATCGAAAACTACATTGTTATAGTTTGTAAGGTAGAAACGGTACATTTTTTAAGTAGTAATATCGAAAACAATACATTGTTATAGTTTATAAGGTAGAAACGTTAAATGTTTTGTTAAGTAGTAATATCGGAAACATTAAATTGTTATAGTTTTAAGGTAGAAACGGTACATTTTTTAAGTAGTAATATGGAAAACATTACATTGTTATAGTTTGTAAGGTAGAAAATGATACACTTTTGTTAAGTAGTAATATAGAAAACATTACATATTTATAGTTTGTAAAGTAGAAACGGTACATTTTTGTTAAGTAGTAACATGGAAAACATTACATTGTCTCGTTACTTTATATGACACAATTTGGTGTTGGTACAAAAACATACGTGGACAAATGACATTTTTAATTACACTAAATGTGCGATACTTGACGGTTTCTCACAGTACAGCGCCCCACTCAATATACTGATGTCAACTTCGAAACTTTCTTAAAGAAGCATGGAATTGCATTTCGATCAAAGAGCTTATTTCTGTGATACATTGCAGTAGTATAGAAGCCCGCAAGTGCCCTCTCCATCTGTTATGGAATTCCTACACGACACAAGCCATCTGATAGGACAGGGAGCTTGCTTATCCGACACAAACGTGTTTCGGTTATGGTGTATTCTATCACGACGACAATATTTTCTCTGTGACGAAGCTTTCTTCTACGATAGGAGCAGCCTACTCGATCATGGAGCTTTCTGAAAGTGCACAAATAGTTTGCTTGATCATGAATCTTTCTGGGCTTAACGTCAGAAATTGGCCTCCTCAATCATGAAACTTTCCTTCAAGATCGAAACGGACCAGCTTGAGATTGAAGATTTCCTTCGCAACAGAAATGGGTCCTGTTTTATCATGGAGCTGTCCTTTTCTACACCATCCATTCAACCATCCTGATACTGGGCGGTTTATTTATAACTTTATTTTTTATATATAACACTTAACTATAAACTTCAGCTGATAATACTATACACATCTATTTTAAAGAGTTAAGAAAATCTGTAAATGCATATCATACAAATAGTGTAAACATATGTGTATACGTTTCTTATTGAATTAATGCATTGATATTCGTCTAAAACATTCTCCCAAAAGCACGTTTTGGCATTCTGGATTCATCCATGATTATTTTCGTTTCAGCCCTTGGAGGTTTATGTAGATGACTGCTCCAAGTTGACCTTGCACGGCCTTCGACAGTTCTATGTCAAAGTCTCAGAGAAGGAAAAGAACAGACAACTGATGACGCTTCTCGATGCTCTGGAATTTAATCAGGTATGCCAATTTTGTTCTCAGTTATCATTTTCCCTCAACTTTGAGACTTCCTACTAATTTTACATCCTTGATCTTTGCCTCACTTTTTGAAATATTTGATACAACCAGAATATTAAAATCGCCCTGATTAAGGGGCTGAACCAATATATCAATGTATTCAGAGTTATGCATCTGATTTATTAGATTTCTCAAAATTTTCTTTTCTAAACTTTAAAAAAAAGTACAGAAAGTCGTCAATGCAAATTAACACTTAGTTCAGTCATTTGCTTAGGTAAGCTTAACCAATATTTAATATTCATTTTGGTAAATTTCAATATGTAAAATAAGTTTTATTTGTAATGATGTAATAGATTTTCATCTTTCACTGTATTTCTCGAACTTTTCGAAAAACTTTAGACATTAAGTTTCATTCATTTGACTATAAGTCCTTAATTGCCAAAAAGGTCTTATGGTGAAATAAATGTTTTCATTTGTTTGCTTTTTTGCATCGACAACTTTAAAAGGATGCTTCTTCGATTGGCATCTTTAGGGATTATTTGACAATACATTATATGGACGTCACCGGTTTTTTTTACAGGTTATCATCTTTGTTAAGTCCGTCCAGAGATGTAAAGCTCTAACCCAGTTGTTGATGGAACAGAACTTCCCCGCCATAACCATTCACAGCGCTATGCTACAGGAGGAAAGGTGCGTATCGCTCTATTCCGTCTTTGCGTATTGCAGAGTTATCTTCTCTTGAGAGCAGGTATTGATTGTTACGTCATTGGTTTGTGTGAGAAAATTACGTCGTTTTCTCAAAAATTGATGACGTTACTCTCACAAACAAATGACGTAACAATCAATACCTGCTCTCAAGAGAAGATAACTCTGCAATACGCAAAGACGGAATAGGGATGTCTTTTCATATTGCTATACATTGTGTATCGTTGCACTAGAGTGGCTTATGTTTCATGTATGTTTAATAAAGACACTTTAATTAACATAACGTATATTTGTTGTAGGAGAATTGTTCTGTAGGAAATCTGAGGAATAACGTCACAGAATAGCAAATGAACGCTAATATTTCTACGTGTTTCAGGTTATCTCGTTACAAACAGTTCAAAGATTTTGAAAAGCGGCTTTTAGTGGCCACAAATCTGTTCGGCAGAGGGATGGACATTGTTGGAGTCAACATTGTCTTTAATTACGACATGGCAGAGGATTCAGACACATTTCTTCACAGGGTAAGCAGGGACTGAACAAAGACAAGTGGACTCAAACATCTTTCTCCAAAGGGTCAGTGGGGGGCTCTTACAATAACTACAGGAGTTCGGCACCTTTCTCCACGCGGTACTTTACACCGGGAAACTTTCGCCCTTCGCCCATGAAATAAATTCATTTATTACATTTTTGCCAGTGAAATAACGGATTCTATCAACTTGATAAAACTGATATCTTTCACACTGTGACAAATATCAAAAGTGATATTTTCACAGTCTTTTGGTATTGACCAATCATAACGGTATCTTCTATTCGCTGCATTCAAAGAATTTTTTTGTTCAGATTCAAATGAAGCGACGGTAGAATAAGTGGTTGTTATGGTAAATGTTAGATGCACACACTTAAGTATGACTGCGCACTCGTGAACAATTTCAAAATATTAGCCACACTCGTGAAATATATTTGGTATTACTGAAGACACCATTAAATATCCCCTATCAATTCCTCCCCCCAGTGTAATTTTTACCCTTCACATTTAATAACTATGACTATCATGTTGTTTATTTATATTTGCTGTAATAATAGTTAAGCCATCATTACAGAGGGCGAAAAAGGCGAAAATTAAACTGCGGCGAAAATTTCCTAGTAAACAGTAATGATGGGCTCTGATAAAGACAATACGAAGTGGACAACTTTCTCCGCAATTCTAGAAACGGGATCTGACAAAGATTAGATGATTCAACACTTTTCTGGGCAGATCAATTAGAATTCTTAAAGAAGTAGAGGACGTACGGGGACACATTGCTCCACAGGGTCGAACTTTTATCATAGCCAAGTTAAGGGCTCCGACTTAGAATGTTTGACTTTCTGGTCCAGTATTCGTATCAAATCATGTTAGACTGTCTATAGAATATCGCATTCATAAAGGGGAAAATGAAACTTTGGTAACTCTCGGTTTATAAAAAGAATATGGCACCATTCGTTATACCTTGTTGATTAAAACAACCAGAGACATTAATCTACAAGATTATAAAACTCTTATAATCTTTGTAGGTGGCTAGAGCCGGGAGATTTGGCACGAAGGGTATGGCAATCACATTCATCTCCAACGAAACGGATGCCGCCATAATGAACGCGGTACAGGCGAGATTTGAGGTCAATGTACCTGTCTTACCTGAGGAAATCGACACCTCATCATACCGTAAGTAATTCTCCGCAAGATAATCAGATTTTTTTTCAATTTGATTTCTTTTGTAGTTTTATATAGAGTTTACTTCAAACGTTGCTAATGAAATTCAAACGGTCGTATACTTGTTTCATTTCATCGTAGACTTGTATCATTTGTTCGTATACTCAGTGTGATACTTGTACATTTTGATCACAGACTTGTATCATTTGTTCGTATACTCAGTGTGATACTTGTTTCATTTGATCACAGACTTATATAAATGATAAACAATTTGATCGTAACTATATCATTCGATTACATTTCGAGAACGATATCGGTCGTTTAATTTTTAAGTGCTAATGGTATTCACATAAGTACACGAACACTGTGAAAGCTAGTTGATTTGAAAGGGTGCTATCTTTATTTACAACCCATTTGTCTGAAACAAAAATTAGAAAAGCTTATCATATTATTTTTCCTTTTTTCTTTAACAGTTCCGGGAAAATGATGAAGCACTATGAAAAGATGGCAAGATCACGACTCAGACAGAAGATAAAAGACGATTTTTGTGGTATTACTAGAAGAAATATTACCGATTTGTGAAACAAACACTATCGGAGAACTTGTGTCGATATTGTGTGCAATAGATCTGATTTATGGCTGTCAAAGATGAGGAAAAGAATAAACAATACAAAAGGGCAAACAAAAATTTGAGGAAATCGTTCCAAATAATATAAGGAGTGAAACATGGACCATGATGCTGAAGTGTTTAACGTTTTAAAATTGAGTCTGACAATTTTTAAAGTTATTTTTATATTCTAACAGGTTCTTCTTTTCCCATGTATCACTGTCTTATTCAAATAATAAGTACCAGAATTGTAACAAACGATTCTTGAGTAAGACAGAGCCCATGAAAAGTAGCTGTCTTAAAACTTACATTAAGTTGAACAATTAACTGTACATGAAAAGGCTCAGACAAATCATGTGACACGTTTCATTGAAAGTAGAGTCACCCATATGTATACATATAAAACATAAAAAGTGACAGTTGTTGCATTAGAAAGGTGGGATATTAAGTTTTGAAATATACATTGTGATGTATTTGTTTGATCACATTTTGAAGTCTATAATGTGTTGTATATTTGTGATTAGATTTTTTTTTAAGTCTATATTTTTGTATATAATTTCATTTTGTCCAAACCAATATTTGTAATTAAAATGTTTCTATATTAAAGAATGACGGTATTGTTGTTTATTACAGGAGTACAATATCTATCAAAACTGTATTGAAGTAAGAATACATTTTCATGTACTATATAATATCGGGTACATTTTATAGTGTAGTCATCCTCGATACCCCAGGGGGTTAGTCTGACTTACGCTCTGTGCACCCCTGTAACATGTCATAGCGAAATGGAAGGCTCAGTGTGCGCCACCTTGTTGATGAGACTAGAAGTCTAGTTCGTTCTTTGTTTTGTACATCAAAAGAATCTCGCGGTCGCATAACGGTAAAAATTGACAGGCTTTGAAGTCGAGTGTCGCTCCTCTTTAATCTTCAAAGGACAGGTATCCGCCTGGCGATTGATCAGGTGTTGTTTTTTTTTTACCCGAGACCAATCATTGTGCCTTTATATTATACGGCATATAATAGAGCATAAATATTATAGAATATGATACATAAGGTGTTAGATACAATTAACGTATTATAATAAAGGAGACATTTTGTCATAGGATACGTATTACAGTTTATCATATCTACAAAGGTGCAATGTGGTGTATGTTCTTGCCCCCTGTGCATCTGATGGTATTTATTGCTCGGGAGAGGGACAACAACTAAACTAATATCAAGACGCAGTTGTCCAGATAACCCTGATACAATTGATATTGAAAATAGGCTTTGGATTAGCGAATCATCTGTGACATGTTAACTCCAGGAACAGGACAGTCTGGTATGTTGGTACTGGGAAAAGGGAAGAAAACGATCATGAAATCAATGGCGTCATGTTTTGTAACGAGCTGATAATTCAAGTAGTATTGTAGGTCCAAAGGTAAAAAAAAAACGAGCTGATAGTTATGGTGGCTTATCTGTGGCACTTCGTTATTTCGTTATTTCCACCATAGATAGTTATATAGTATTGTAAGTTCAAAAGTAAAGCATGTCTTTAATCGTTTTTTAAGTTTTGGGTTATAGTGCTACATACACGGTATAAATCGAATTCTCGGAATTTGTGTTATATGGGTGTTTAAAATTACTTCCTGAGTTTTCAACAAGTTTTATTGCAAAGAGGCCATTATTACAAGTAAACAACACGGGTGTCCGAGTTATGAAATAGACATTAAAAGGTTTTGAAGGAATTCATCTCAGACAATCTAGCTATGAAAAGTAAAAGGTATAAAAGAAAAGCTAGAAAGACGCAATCAAAATGAAGGAATCCTAAAGCCGTTTTTTTTTCACAAGTTCAGATTCAGAAGGGGTGTAGATTTTATATTGGCTTCGTTTTAGCTTTTCGTATGATTGATTCGCATCTAAAATCAATTTGAATCAGTAACCATTTTCTTCAGAGGCTGTTAAGTCATATCTATTGATAGATAACACAGATTTTGAAAATATCATGGATGTAGATGATATTAACACAGCTTACGGACATTTTTAGAGACTTTTAGGAACATTGTCGAAAAATATGCTCCTGGTGAAAAAACACAAACCATTACAGAAACAAGCACCATATATGAAAAGAAATTTGAGGAAAGCAATTTATAAAAGGAGAATGTTGCACAACAGATATAAAAGAGATAGGTCTAGACAGAACTGGGAATCTTATAGGAAACCAGAGAAATCTGGTAAACAAAATTAGGAAACAATCTATAAAACAGTATTTTATTGAAAGATGCACTGTGGAAGACCCAAAAACAGTGACTTTCGGACAACTATAAAACCATTCTTAACTACTAATAAAAGGATGTTAAAATCTGAAAGACATAGTTATTGAAGACCAGCGTAAAATGATAAATGATTAAAGTCAGTGAAATGAGCCAAGCACATTAGTCAAGAGAATAACACCATGAATACATATCACCGTAGTATTCAGGCAATAACTAACAACACAGAATGTCACTAATGTGTTTCAGACCTGTTGAAGAGGTTTTTATACATAAAAAAATTAACAAAATTGGAATTAATTAAAAAGGCTACTGGTTTTGACAACATTTCACCTAAACTGCTTAAATTGACCCGACTAGTTGTTCCTGGGTGCATTACATCATTGATAAATCAATCTATCAGCACAGGGACTTTTCAAGACCAATTAAAAATTGCTCAGGTCATCCCACTTCACAAGACAGTACACTAGATAAAAGGAATCACAGACCCGTTATATCGATTTTTTTAAGAAAGCCTTAAACTCATTACTCTCGATTTGTTAAGCTCTCAATTTCATCCATTTTTGTCTGCATTTCGTTCTGGGTATGGATGCCAGACTGTTCTATCAAAAATAAGTGAAAATTGGAAAAAGGCATTGGATCAAAACAAATATGAAGGCTATATTCTAATGGACCTTACTAAAGATTTCTATTAACTGCCACATGATCTTCTTTTAATAAAACTTAAATCATATAAGGTTATTAATAGTGCTCTTAATATCATTACAAATTATTTGGAAAATGGAATACCATGTGTCAACTTAGTTTCAAAAACAAGCATCTTCCTGATTCTGTATAAGGAAGTGCCCAGGGCTCCATCCTCGGTCCACTCCTCTTCAATATTTTTATAAATGATATTTTTTACTTCATCAAACAGACTGTACACTCTATGACTACGCAGATTATAACTTTCTCTCCATGACGGTCATGTCACTAGAAATCGTGGTTAAATCACTTCAATCAGAGTGTAACACACTTGTAAAATGGTTTCCGGACAATTTCAGGCCATGGCTATCGGTAAAAAAAAAACAGCACAAAAAATATAACTTTTGAAATAATAATAGGACCTAATCGTATTAAATGTGAGCAGGAAGTTTAACTTCTATGTGTAACCATTGAGTTCCAACTTAAATTTAACACACACATTTCTAATATCTGCAAAAACATCTAGACAACAAAATGTTCTAAAAAGGACATTTTAATAGACTTGGAAAGCCAAGTATTTACTTATCTGTTATCATGTAAAATTTTGAATACTGTCCCCTAGTTTGGCATTTATGTGGGGAAATAAACACAAATAAAAAATGAAAAAAATCAAGGAAGGGCACTTCGGTTTATCTATGAGGACCAAGAAAGTTCATATGATTCTTTGTTAGCCCGTTCAAAATTACCCTCATTGAAAATTATCCAATGACGCCTCGGTTTTTCTTTGATCTTTTCTCGACGATATATTGCATACCGTGTGGTATTTCAGATATCACATATGTGATATCTGAAATATCACATGGCTTTTCTGATTGGTCCATGCCACAGTCTGGAGGCGGTGCCCATTTTAAAGTGGGCGCGACAAATCAACAAAGACGCGAAAAACATTGCAAACAAATTTAATTAAATTTAGACACCGTAAGTGTAAACAACAGCATTTCTCTATCAAGCACCAATAATGTGTTGGTATTATATTTTTCACGCTACGTTACACTATTTTTGTTTTCTTGTGTTTCGGTCTTGACCTTCTTGATCGCACTTTTCCCACACTCTAATGTCCGGCTTATTTCCACCTGTTGCGCCTCGGACGGTCTCTTGTAGGCACGGACAGCGGTACTGCGATGTCCAGTCCTTTCCATAATCAACTGTTCATCAAAACCCAATGAAAGTAGAAAATAAATGGACATTTTTATCGTGTAAGGTTTAGGTTAATGTCAATGCGTATAACATTCAAGTCAAATTAAAAAAAAATATAAAAAAAAAATGGTTTCATCACTACATTGTATTTATAAAAAAAATATACACATGCGTTGCGGAAAAAGTAAATACCTAATCATAAATAGGAGAATATATAAACAAAATAAATAACGCGTCTGTAATTTAACTTCAAATATCGTGTTAATGAATTTTTTAGGATTTATGTTATTTATGGACATCGAAAGTTATTTTCATATACGAAAAAGAACATGTATTCTATTTTACAGATTATGAAAAAACATATACACAGGCTAATATTTTCGTGATTCACAATTATGTTTAAAAACACTTTAATTTCAGACTTACCGGCTTGGTAAAGAGATGTGGCGCATGTTCTCTTTCCGTAGTGATTTAAAAACTTCCCCTCGAATCCTGCTTCCTTACACATGTTTTCCACAATTGCATTCAGTTTATTTACTCCAGTCGGCTGTGTTCCAAATTTCCTACCGGCAAGGGGTCTCATGTAAAATGGACCCTCTCCAACAGTCTGTTGACAACTCTTGTGTAAATATCATATAAACTCCGGGGACGTCATACCATGCCTGATCCGCCATCATGAAATGCTGTGGCAGGAAATGGGATGGGTCAGAAAGTGGCGGGAAAATATCAAAGTGATTACTTGACATATCCTGATCAGCTATATAGCTCCGCCGGTCATTGGATAAAACAGATACATAATTAACACTCGTGACGTATCGGATATATCACTCGTGCACATTATGTATCTATTACTTAGAAGATTAAGAAAAGCACTTCAAGAGGCATATACAATTACTAACAACACAACTCGTCCTGTCTTTCTACACAACTTGATTGTGGTATATTAGGTATACTAACAGGGCAATCACTCATCGAGTACTTTTAGATTTACTGCTTATGACAAGCAACAGTAACTACAGTTAGTTAGATAGGCCTCCGCGTCTCAGTTGAAAATCCCCACGAAGTCTAGCCATTAATATATTGTCTTTATAAAATTTGGCGCGCTATGACGTGAGAGACAACACGCATGCGCATTGCGAAGGCTTCATGTTGTCAAGAACATGGAGAACTACAAGGTATGGTTTCTCGCATCCGGTATATTGATAACAGATTTCTCTCGGTGCTGACCTGAGTAATTGTATTTGAATATTGCCAGGACATATTTGATAATAAATGATTTCTTTGATTAATTTCAGATTGTGCAACAGCTGGGTCAAGGCGCCCAGGCGACAATTTTTCTCGCCGAAAAAAAGGACACTGGCAAATCTTATGTCCTCAAAAAGGTAAACATTGCGAACGAGGCCACAGAAAAACCCTTCATGCCAGATCGCAGATATTTTGTTGAACTGCAGTAGAAATTAACCCGCATACGCATTAAAAAATACACGATGATATCTTCAAATATAGTTTAAATAGATTTCAACACGCAAATAAAAAATGTATACTACGTTACGTGAATTTGAATGAGTCCATGCGTCCATACGAATGCCTCCCCCCGCCCTTCCTCTCGGCGCCCGACAGCAAGCACCAAATTACTACGCAAGGAACATATATATACGGACTGTCTAACGGTACCAGCTTTATCAGCTGATTTAATTCAGAAAGTAAACACTGATGGATAAGTCTTTTTTAGAAGACCATTTTGGTAGGATGATGTCACCTTTCTATCATAATCCCTTTTAATGACAAAATTGTGTGGCCATGGGTGTGTAGCTTCTGTCACATGTTGTATCAGACCCCGGGAATCAAGTAGACAAAATAATTGACAAGCAACAACATTAGATCAGGTCCAGTACACTCTGCCGATTGAGCTATATAGCTATAAAGACATATATAGCTATATACACCTATAAATTATAGCTGTATTGAGCTATATTTTCTCAGATTTCAAATTTCATTAAATTAAAGCAAAGTCGCATAAAACAATAAGGTTAATGGTAATGTTGACTACAAAAAGCATACATCAGTAGATGTTTATTTTCATTTTTCATAAATGTAAAATTTCCGATTTCTTTACATCATTATTTTTTAAAAAGAATACTTATATTTAATGTCTTTTGTTATAAATCTAATGATACAATCTTCTTTTAAATGCGACTTTGATCCGTTTTCCTTAAAAAAGAAAATCACTCGAAAATAGCTCAAAAGACCTATTTCAGATAGGTCAATAGAGCTATTATAGGTCTTTACAGCTATATAGCTCCATCGGCAGAGTGTACAGGACCTGTAGATATATCATCCAAGTGAAAATTTAGGTCAACCGTGATAATAATATCTTTTGGTACAACAACCTGGACTGGTGGTCTAAAAGTTAGTCCACTAATAAAAAGAACATAGTATTTCTGAAGTCAAGATGGAGGAGGCCTGTAAATGATAAACAATATGAATTGTTTAAATTGTCACAGGCTTTTGTTTGTTTGTAATGTTAACATCCAGTGGCGGATCCAGAGGTTTTTTTGGGGCTTCAGGAAACCCCCCTAGTCTGAGAATTTTCTTCAAAAATCATGTATTTTCACCATTTTCCTCAATCTTCCCCACATGCCCCCCCTGTTCCTGGGGAAAAACCACCAACCTACGGCCAGTTACCTGGCGACTGCGCCTAATAATAATGTAGGTTTCGAACCTGCGATCCAGTGGTAGTAGAATGTCAAACGCCTTAACCACTTGGCCACAGCGGGTCGTCATGTAGCAGCAATGACAGAACAAGTCATATGTGCTCAAAGTGTGTGTATACATCATCATGATTGGGAGAGAGATGTCTCACACTAAGGCTTTTTTAAAACAGAACAGCCACCAGATCACCACGTCTGCCGAGTGTAGCATCATTTAATCATATTATTATGATTTATTTGCAGGTGGAATGCTTTGATGAGAGTGAGGCAAACAAGGCATTTAGAGAGGTAACACTTAAAATATATGCAAAATATATACAAACTGTATCCATTGTAATTTATTTTGATGATAAATAATTGTATCTAAAACTTTTTGACAATTATTAGTATGAACAAACAAATTTAGACATTACACTCCCTGAATTCTACCTTCCCTTTTGAGATGTAATACATTTCAGTGATTTTTTTGCTCAGTTTTACTGCCAAATACAGGCTGTTTCCCCTAGCTAAAAAAGTCCTATTTTCCCAAAATATCCAAAAACCGAGAAAATAGTGCTATATTTTCCCAATTCATAAAGAAACAGGCTGTTGTAAAATTGAGGTAACAAAAACACTGCATCTATAGACATGTATAATTCATAAATAGAAATTTTTTGCTTATCTACAACAACAAAATATATATATATATAACCACAGAAAAAAATAGTTGTTGTACATCAATCCTTTATTGCAATTATGATCTTGAACTCTAAAGGCAAGAAATACAGCTAGAATTCATCTTATCTAGTTACAAAAATACCAATGCTTTCTCTTAACGTGTTCACTGTTCCATTGATAGTTCTTAAACTAATACTATAGCTTTGTTGTTGTCAGTCTCAGGACCTGCTGAGCTTGGAGCATCCCTATGTCTCCGGCTACAACGAGTTCTTCATCATGTGGGAAAAGGAGGTAAGGTCCAACTAGATAGCCTTTACACAAGAGACAAGAGAGGCAACAGAAGAATACCAAAGATGTATATTTTAGAGTATATCTTAGAAAAATTAATATTTGCATCCCTAATGCATATATTTATCCAGTTGAATTGATATGGAATATTTTATTTTTATGCCTTTCTATTACAAAATTTTAATACACTCTTAAAGATCCTGTAACACTGCCAAAAACTGCAAACGAAGTGTTGGGAATTGTTTTTTGGCATGACTATAGCTTTGGTAAATCATTTCTGAAAAGAAAACTATTACCTTATGGGACTTTTATGAGCATTAATAAAGCAGACATAAACAAAATGTAATAAACTACAGTGTTTTGAGTGTAAACAAAAATTGGCAGGGTCAGACTGGGATTCCAACCCAGGACTTAAGATTAATATATACTATTGCTTTAACCGATCTAGCTACCTGGACAACAGAAGTGTCTTTGTTCAACTCTGCTACAGTTATATGCAGATGAAAGTTAAGGGAATGTTAAGGGAAAACCACAGTGGAATAGGAATCCTTAAAAACATGGTACTTTTCAAATTCACCATTTAAAATTATGCAGATATTCTACCCAATAACACCTTTAATAATAGTTCTATCATTAATTTATATATAATATGATATTGTATTTTTTTTTCTATAGAATTCTTCAGTTTTCATGACTATAGTCATGGATTACTTCCCCCATGGTAATCTTGGCACCATTATGCAGAAACACAGGGAGAGCAAAGATGTCATACCAGAGGAGGTAAAGGCTGCTATTTCTTCTATCTGGTTAACCCTTTCACCTCTGTAGACCATAATGGACTCGTCCAGATCAAAGCATGGAAGAGTTTATTAAAGGTACATAGGGGTCAAAGGGTTAAAACCAAATTCTGATTTACTGCAATTTTCTGCATATTGGGATTGGAGGATGCTGTTTCAGGGGCTGCATTCTAGGGACTTTAGCTGCAGCAAATCAGTGAGAGGCTGTCATTATTTGAAAACACATAGCATCAATGTATTACATGAAAGGTCACAAGCCCATGACCACTGCATGATAGTGTATCCTCAGATTGAATAACAAAGTATCATGATGGATATTAAAAGCTGATTTTAGTCATATTGGAATCCGGGATAGAGTGAATTTATGTATATCAATCTTATTTGGACGAAAATAATATCTTTTATTGGTGATGATTAAAACTTGATGATTAAAATCAATTGAGACAAAGATACATAAGTTACATGTTTTTTTAAAAAATCTAGAGTTGATACCTAGATTATCATGTAAAAATGTTATTATGGGAAACATGTAATGGGCTCATTCATTTGTTAACTTGTGACTGTTTTCAGAAAATAAAGAACTGGGTTGGCCAGGTGATCGAAGGTTTGATATATGTTCATCAAAAAGGAATCATTCACAGGTAATTATATGGCAATATACGATCCCTTGGCCATGGCTGGCCAAAACTTCTAAAGTACAGTTTTAGAATTTAGGTTCTACATACCATAGACGATAGGTCTGTAAGATCTACATTTCTTATAGACCTACTGAAATTTTGACAATGATAAAATTATTTATATATTTTATTTAGTGTTCAATAACATGAAATAATGAAATATGTGTAATATTAAAGGGAGACAAGTTCATTTCACAGAGGAATTTGTATTACACTGCTATACTTATCATTGAATCATGCACACCATAGGAAACAACTTTGTAGAAATTTTGGTATATAAAGTAAGTGGTTCATAGAACAACAGTGTTTTTCACTGTGATCGTCTATGGGTCTACCATTAAGTTTGAACACTAAAAGTATGGGTAGCAATCAGCCAGCTCCTTATTGGACACCAATACGAAATGTATGTAAATTAATGGACTTCCTCTCTTGTGAAGTCAGCAGCATGAATAGGTTCAACTCTGTATAATGTTTTTTTAATCATGTTTATATGTCTTAAATACATTATGTATAAAGAAAGTCAAAATGAACATTCTATAGATATATACCAATGAGAAGTTTATGATTTGTTGAAATAATTGCTGTATTTTATATAAAAAAAAAAAGGTTCATCTTAACTCGTTCACCCCTGAAGACACATTTGAACTCTTCCAATTCAAAGGTTGGAATAGTTCATTATGAAATTTCATGGGTGAATGAGTTAAATACATTAGCTTTGTTTGACTTTTACTATTTGTGGATTTACACACTGATGTTGCACTTTTACAGAGATTTACGACCTAATAACCTTTACCTGCAAGAGGAAGGTAGTTTAAAGCTGGGCGATTTCTCCGTAGCTACAGTGATGGGAGACACTCGTACCTGCACCAGAGCTACCCTCAGTCAGTACATCCTTATACAAGTCTTTCATACTTGTTTAACCTTAATCTCTTATTTCATTGCTGTTTTAAAAAATATACTGTGATTGATGCTCACTCTTTAATTCATTTGCATGTCCTTTTTTATTCGTCTTTTCTGACTCACTCTCTATGGGTTCACACTCTGCTATCCATTTCATTTATCTATTTTGACTCACTCTCTATTGGTTCACAATCTGCTATCCATTTCATTTATCTATTTTGACTCACTCTCTATGGGTTCACACTTTGCTATCCATTTCATTTATCTATTTTGACTCACTGTCTATTGTGACTCACTATCTGCTGTCAATTTCATTTATCTATTTTGACTCACTGTCAATAAGCTTTTTCATTCAACTTTTGTGATTCTCTATCTGCTATCCATTTCATTTATATATTTTGACTCCCTGTCAATAAGCTTTTTCATTCAACTTTTGTGATTCTCTATCTGCTATCCATTTCATTTATCTATTTTGACTCACTGTCTATTGTGACTCACTATCTGCTGTCAATTTCATTTATCTATTTTGACTCACTGTCAATAAGCTTTTTCATTCAACTTTTGTGATTCTCTATCTGCTATCCATTTCATTTATCTATTTTGACTCACTGTCTGGGTTCACACTCTGCTATCCATTTCATTTATCTATTGTGACTCACTCTATGGGTTCACACTCTGCTATCCATTTCATTTACCTATTTTGACTCACTCTCTATGGGTTCACACTCTGCTATCTATTTCATTTATCTATTTTGACTCACTCTCTATGGGTTCACACTTTGCTATCCATTTCATTTATCTATTTTGACTCACTCTCTATGGGTTCACACTTTGCTATCCATTTCATTTATCTATTTTGACTCACTCTATGGGTTCACCCTCTGCTATCCATTTCATTTATCTATTTTGACTCACTGTCTATTGTGACTCACTATCTGCTGTCAATTTCATTTATCTATTTTGACTCACTGTCAATAAGCTTTTTCATTCAACTTTTGTGATTCTCTATCTGCTATCCATTTCATTTATCTATTTTGACTCACTTTCAATAAGCTTTTTCATTCAACTTTTGTGATTCTCTATCTGCTATCCATTTCATTTATCTATTTTGACTCACTGTCTGGGTTCACACTCTGCTATCCATTTCATTTATCTATTTTGACTCACTCTATGGGTTCACACTCTGCTATCCATTTCATTTACCTATATTGACTCACTCTATGGGTTCACACTCTGCTATCCATTTCATTTATCTATTTTGACTCACTCTATGGGTTCACACTCTGCTATCCATTTCATTTATCTATTTTGACTCACTGTCTATTTGCTATTACATGTGTCTATTGTGACTAACTATCTGCTATTTCATTTATCTATTTTGACTCACTGTCTATTGTGACTCACTATCTGCTGTCAATTTCATTTATCTATTGTAACTCCCTGTCTATTGTGACTCGATGTCTAGTGTCTCTTTAATTTATCTATTGTAACTCACTGTCTACTGTCCCTTTCAGGCAGTGCTAACTACCTGGCACCAGAGTTGGAGGATACAGGCTTCACTCCTGTAACTGACATCTGGTCACTTGGCTGTATCCTGTTTGAGCTTACAACATCAACATTTTACGATGAGAAACAGGTCATCGAAAAGATGAAGGAGGCCAAGGAGGATGCCTTTGTGTTGGAGCAGGTGTTTGAGGATGTGGCTAATGTAAGTGTCTGTTATACTGATTGATTCATTGATGTTCGGTAGCGTTGTATACTTAAGTTTCTTTGAGTGGTTTGGTTTGGTTTTATTTTATTTTACGTCCTATTAACAGCTAAGGTCATTTAAGGACATGCCTCCATGTGTGTTGTGTAGATGTGTCACAATACGCCAAGAGTGTATCACGATATCTTGCAATACAGAATGAATATATTGCGATACGTATCCCGATATATTGTCAAAGGAAAGATGTGCTCGATTTTATGATAAGTTGTTGTCAGAATGTTATCAAACTTAATCAGATATAATATGGATCACATAGATTTAAGATTTTTGTCAAACCAACCATCGATTACAAAATTTGAGCTAATTCCCACCACTATTAAAAGCCTGTTTTATGATTATTGGCATATCTGTTAGAATTTGTAGTAATTTGCAAAGTTAAAACACCAAGCAGAATGAGATACATGAAAATAAGCTTTTAAAAAAATATTGCGATACAGTAATATTTCATCTCTGTTTTGTGGTACGATACGATATACCAGTGTTTTGCGATATACCTGTTTTCCAATATATTGTGATGTCCCTAGTGTTGTGCATGCCTGTATGTGTTATGTTGGTGTAATTGCCACCTTGTGATAGCGTGGCTCTGATGCCGCCTTTATAGTGCTATTTCACTGAAATACCATGCCCAAGGCATCCAGCGCAATATTTCCACCTGGTCACATTATACTGAATGTATTTGTTTGATGTTCCCTGAAAATTACTCTGAAAGATCAATGTTAGTGTTTGTCTTTTCAAAAGTGGAGTCCCTAGCAAGTGATTAAACTTATTGGCAACACATAGGAATATGCTATGAGATTGGGGAAAAAATAAAAAAAATTGTGGTTGCTTGAATTTGTTTTGTCTATTTTGATGCTAAAACACAGCCATTGGGTAAAGTATGTTTATGAATGCATTACACAGACATTACACAAAGCATTGTCTGACTGAATGAATTACATAAGTTCAGAAATTACCCACACAACACTTAGTCTCGTTATAATATCACAGACATCGCCCATAACTCTGTCCCACTGAGTTGTACCTCCACTCCAGAAATATATGTACATAGTCTTATGATTATTAGTATTAACTACATACATGGACATATACTAGCTAAAATGTAGTCCGTCTCAAATGGTAATACTACCAGTACCTTGTTGTATTATTAAATGCATACATGGTCCTGCCAACTCTCCCTATTTAGGAGGGAGTCTCACAATTTTGGACCCTTAAATTTAGCATTTTCAACCAGTGAGTTTGCTAAACCTTTCCTATATTCTAAGATCTAATGATTTCACCTGAAATAACAGCTCAAAATATGTCATTTTAACGAGTTATTTTGTCTCTAGGGATAATATACACACATTTTATTTATGTTTTATTTTTGAGCATGCAGAATCTCCCCCTTGGAAATTTCAAAAGGTTTTCAAGTATGTAAATGAACAATTCAGACTATGGTATCATCCATCAAAAAACTTTTTTTATTATTATTATTATACATCCTATCTTATAAAGTTGAATGTGACACTTTTTTTTCATATTTGTAATTTATATGGTTTTTTTTTTATGTTTTCAGCATTACTCCGGAGAACTGATCAGTCTTATCCGTTTGATGCTAAAGAGGAAAGACAGACCTTCTGCTTCGTATGTATCTACAGATGTTTAATGAAACTAAATCAAATGCTGGTGAAATTATACAGTTCCTGTTTTAGCTTACTCTAGAAATAACATAAAAAAATGCTTTGATGAAGAGCTAGTTTATCAAATTGACTACCTAAAAAGTACACTTGATAATTGTTTTCTGTGTTAAAAAACAAATTTCTGTTAGTCTACGTAAGGTTGCTTCTTTTCCCCAAATTTGTTGACTCGGAAATAAATATTATTTTTAAACTCAACAGAGACCTGAAGAAGAACAATAAATATGTGAAGGTTTGTGTGGAGATGACAGATGCTTCGCAGCTGGAGAAGAGGAAACGACAAAAATCAGCCCGTAAAGAAAATCGTAAGATCTATAGATTATTTTGGAATGAATGGGAAAACGAAAATGTAACTTTGTACCTAACAATGTCTTTAGGATGTTGTGTATAGTTGAAACAGTCCAGTTCCAGTTTCAATGTAATCCAACCTGTCTTAAGAGACCAACCTTTGGAGGTCCAAAAAGTGGTCTTTTAAATGCAGGTTGTTTCATTCTTAACCTTTTCACCAATGAATCCCTGTGTGCTTCCTAGGCCTCCTGATGACAAATCTCTTTATGAAGCGTGTTTTGGGGATTGAATCTCTCTATTATAAATAAACCCCAGTAACATACAATGTTTTCACAATACACTGATGCAAGTTTGCATAACCGATGATCTTCATAAAATATTAAAATAAAATATGTTAATATACGGTAAGACATGTTTAACTTTTACATTCTGTAGATAAGAAGAATTTAAAAAGTCTGTCGGAGAAAACCGTTGTCTCAAAGTTGATCTTTATGAGATAATGGGTTCGTGAAAGGGTTCATAAAGGTTTAATTCACAATGAAATCACTGTAATGGGGATCACTGAAAGTGGCCTCTTACCACAGGTATTTTCTTAATGGAGGTGGTTCCATGAGCAGGTTCGACTCTATTGCAGGTATAGTACCAAAGGAAGGAGGTCTGATCAAAGTACTAGAACATCTGGCTACCAACATAGATTTTGAGGAACAGGTGCTTGAGTCGCTGTCCACAATCCTGGAGATGTGTAAGGAGTCGGAGACATTACAAGTTGATGCCACCGGTAAACGCCTCATCAGTGTCGCCATGCGTAACAACCTACCGCAGGAAAATATTCAGATCACGGGATGCAGCATTTTTAATCGCCTACTTGTGACTGGAAGCTCAGGTATGTAATCGATGCAACAACTTTAGTTTTAGATGGTGTTGTCAGTAAAATGTTGATCTCACTGTTGTCAAAACTGTGTGTATATCACTGTTGTTGTTGTTGTCAGTACAAGGGTGATTGTGTATAATTCTACTATGCCCACCCACAGGGCTAGGATTTTTTCTGTCAGGACTAAGGAAAAGTGATTATATTAAGTTTTGAAAATATTTGTCGGGCTATAATAGAATCAATAAAAATTTGTACAGGCTAGTGCTTAAGATATGAAACTCTAATGTTGTTGATCGTTCAAATAAAATGTCAATGAATGCTACCTTCCGTTAAGTACTTAATTGTAACCAAATTTTTTGAATTTTTAAAAGTAGAATTTTAAGTATTATTAAAATAAAATATAAAAAAGTGTGTACAAACATTTAAATCAAATGAGACTTTACATTGATCACAGTAGCTGTGTTGAATTTTGACAGATATTTTTATCACTCGTCATGATGTTAAGAGAAGGGTTTATTTACCTGGTAAGTCTTAACATGGTAATGGTAGTTAGTTACACTTTAGACATTATCTTAACCACATTATATCTTACTAACAGGAATCCATGGATTTTCTTGTGTACCATTCAGTCCATTTTTGAAAACCCAACGATACACTTGAAGACCACACAATTTTCTAGATACGATTTTTAAGGTTAAATTATACTTTACAATTTTAAGTGTTGCCAAGACTATATCAAGCTCCTGTGTATTGTGAAAAGATTCATGAAGCACAACCAATAAGTGTTTATATGTGACATTTCAATGACTATTACGGTATGTACTCTGTCACCTTCATCGGACAAATGACCAGTCAAGCGTATGTATACAAAAGTGTAAAATATGTATGAGTTATCCATTCAAATCTATGTTGATTCGGCTACGCTGTAAGCCTGTAGGCTGTTAAAAAAATCCTGTGTAGTTTTTTTTTTATGTAGATATTGGCATACCTAGTATATGTATACCAGAATCTGGTTCGCTCGACCCTTAGCTCTGACAAGCTGGAGTTGTAGATTAGAGTTTCCTGCCAAAGATCTACCTGAGCACTTTTTTCTTTGCCAATTTTTTAAATGCTGTGAAAATGGTTAAATCATAAGCACAAATAAGGATTTTTTTTTTACAAACAAAACTATGTGTTGTTTGTAAGGTTCTGCAGTATCTAAAAGCACTTTCTATGTAGTTGACTGATATTGCACTCTTGTCCATTATCTCACACGTTTCTCTATATATCATAAAAAATCCTACAGTACTTTTATTTTCTTAATTCGTAGATCATTATTGCCATATTTGCACCAGTGCTCAATCACTGAATAATCATTTAGTACACAAATTTATTTATGATTTTTTTTTCTTTTTTTTTTTTTTCTTTGTTTTGTTCAAATAATAACTTATAGATGTGAAAAATTTCAGATTCAGTTACACTTGAAGACTCCACAATTTTCTAGATATGATTTTTAAGGTTAAATTATACTTTACAATTAAGTGTTGCCAAGAATTATATCAAGATCCTGTGTATTGTGAAAAGATTCATGTAGCACAACCAGTGAGTGTTTATATGTGACGTTTCGATGACTAGTACGGTATGTACTCTGTCACCTTCATCAGACAAATGACCAGTGAAGGGTATGTACACAAAAGTGTAAAATGTGTACGAGTTATCCATTCAAATCTATGTCGATTCGGCTACGCTGTAAGCCTGTAGGCTGTTAACAAAACTCCTGTGTAGTTTTCTTTTTATCCCCCGTACACTAAATAGAACAGTGGTGTCAAAGTTCAATCAGTGGTTTTTATTAATCGTAACAAAAATATATATGCATTATTTTAGTATTATTTGTGTCTTGCATAATGGTTTCAATTGTACAGTTTTAAGTCATTGATATTATAGTTCTAATGTTATGTTGCTATCCGGTCACAGACCTTAAATTGCATCCCTGTCCAAGTTTGATCCGGTGAAAGGTTTAAAAGCTTATAGTTGGGTTTCATTCATATGTGAGTGACAACTGAATCGGGTTTAATGCTTATATTTACCATTTTTCGATATAATTCTTTTGGTGTGAGTATTTTTTTTAACAATGGTACAATTTCCTGCGCTTATTAGTTATTGTTGATCAAAATGGAATAACAGTAAACATCCAAACAGGAAACAATGATTACCCAGGTAAATCAACAATTGAATCATGGCATTCATAGGCACTATTAGGGGTGTACAATTTTATATTTTAGTAGCAGCTTAAGGAGGCAGATTTTGAATAAAATCCTAGTCTGACCTTTATTTTCAAAGTAAATAATGAAAATGTTCACTTGCCCCAACATAAAATCTACTAGCCCCAGGTACAGGCCAGGGCTAGTGGAATTGTACATCTCTATATAGGAATACCGTAAAGTTGTATAGCAGCATTGGCATGCAATGTTATTAAATATCATAAGTGATATGAAATGGAGAAAATTTGAATATTTTGTATTGAAATAAAGAAAAGTAATGGTTGGTACTATGTACATGACATCGATGTAGTATTCATTGAATATCACAGTACATGTAGTGGAATTCTGTCCTTGTTGGTTTCAGATAAGCCAGGTGATGCCATATTCTCATCAGATGTAATCAGTATATTCCCTAGAGTTATGGAGGTAGGTCACACTGTACAATTGAGTAGGGGGATTTAATGTCCTTTGATTTCAGGATTTTAGACATTTTCAGGTCTGTATTTAGATCCACAATATTAGACAACAATCCTAATTGACATGGAAATTGCAATATGTATTTTGTGTACATGTATTGATCAATTGTTGAAAGGCATAGAGTGTTTAATATTTTGGAAGGAATTGTTAAAATTCTTCAGAACGACAGCTTCATTTATTTATTAACTTAATACTTCTTTTGAACTACTAAATTTGAAATGGGTGTAATATAATGAGTTTCAGGAACTTTCCCAATTCTGCCATATCTTTTATTGGTTGATGCTGTTCAGACATAATTAAATTACTACATAGATGTGTACATCACAGTAGGGGAAATACATTCACAAATTTCTTTGTTTTTTCAGGAACATAGTTCTAGTGCTGAAGTCCAGCAGGTTGCAGCAGCATCCCTCATGGCTCTGGCTTGTAACAGTATGTTATCAATTGTACCTCTATCTAAATATCTACTTATAATTTCAAGTGATGTGTCTTTATTTCGAAGGGAGCATTCCTATATTTTACCTTCGATAACTTAAGCTCTCTCTGAAAAATCAGAATCTCCCTACAATTGTTTGTGATGTTAGAAGTTCTTAACTTGTTGAAAATGTGTCTCAATACACCAATAAATGGATTTCTGCTTTTAAGCATTGGATCAAGGGTAATATTACATTCACAAGTCTTCATTTAGGGGTTTTGTTCAATGTACATGTAAAAGCAAACATTGCATGCTGATTCTAGTAAAAGAGTGTTTGCATTGAAAATCTCACTACCAAAAACTCCATTTCCCAACGAATGGAAGGGTAAACTCCCTACCAAAATATCTATTTCCCAACCAGTGGGAGAGTAATCTCCATACCAAAATCTCCATTTCCCAACAGTGGAAGGGTAAACTCCCTTCCAAAATCTCTATTTCCCAACCAGTGGGAGAAAAATCTCCCAACCAAAATATCTATTTCCCAACCAGTAGGAGAGTAATCTCCTTACCAAAATCTCTATTTCCCTACCAGTGGGAGAGTAATCTCCCTTCCAAAATCTCTATTTCCCAACCAGTGGGAGAATAATATCTCGACCAAAATCTCTATTTCCCAACCAGTGGGAGAATAATCTCCCTACCAAAATCTCTATTTCCCAACAAGTGAGAGAATAATATCTCTACCAAAATCTCTATTTCCCAACCAGTGGGAGAATAATCTCCCTACAAAAATCTCTATTTCCCTACCAGTGGAAGAATAATCTCCCTACCTAAATCTCTATTTCCCTACCAGTGAGAGAATAATCTCCCTACCAAAATCTCTATTTCCCAACCAGTGGGAGAATAATATCTCTACCAAAATCTCTATTTCCCAACCAGTGGGAGAATAATCTCCCTAACAAAATATCTAGGGTATTACACAATGGTTAGTTAAGCAGTTGCTAATGTAATCATTTTGGCAATGATGTTTCTATAATATTATGGTTTTGTTTTATGATTCTATCAAAAAAATACCAGAAACTTACAATGCAAAATCAAATAAGTATGTCAACAATGAAAATAAACAAAACCCTGTAAACCAAGGAAAGTTAAACAAGAGTTATCACCCCTGCAGGTGAAGCTGCTGAGGCCATCGGTTTCCTAGGTGGAGTTAACCATATCCTTGATGCCATGAGGAGGTTCCCTAACAACCCGGAGCTCTGTGCCACGTGTTGCCATGCATTATGGAGTCTTTCTGTCATTGGTAGGTCTCATTACTGTATATTTGTTGTTACTCTTGATAAAATGCGTTATTATTAAATCAATTCATGCAGACAACAATGTTAGACCAGGGTTGTTGTGAACATGAAAAATGTCTTCAGATAAACTTGAAAATACATAAATTCCAGTTGAAAAAGAAACAAGGTTGAAACAATTTGAGTGCAGTGAGGGATATGGCAATTAAATGACAGTTAAATCTAGAAGTATCATACCTTCCCACTAGAAGTTGGAGACCCCTGCAATCACACTCATCCCGTGGCCATTAATCAAATATCGTACAAGATTGTTTTAAGCTCTATTCTTCAGAAAATGCATCCATAAGAGCTGGTTTGTCTAATAATCGGGCCTGTGAATTGTTCATCTCTTGAATAAAGTACTTAATGTAAATACTTTCATTTTAGTTTATTATTTCAAACGAGAATGAAATAATGAAATATTAAATGAATACATAAAAATTCACAATTAGCAGTGTAAATGTGTTTAAATATGTGTTTTCAAGAAAATCTCCCCCCCCCCCCCTCAAAGCTCTGTAGTGTCTATACTATCATCTGTTTCATTTCAAAGAAAACAATGTGAAGATTGTGACGTCGGAGAAGGGACTTGAGCTGGTGTGTAATGCCCTGAAGACACATATGAACTCTCCTGATGTAGCGGAGGCAGCGTGTGCTGCACTGCTCTCCACAACACTAAATGGTCAGTACCACACACTTGTCAAACTAGTGTCAGTGTAAATTGTCCAAAATGGTGCATATAGTATTGTGGAATTTTTTCACAAAGTTCTTGATAAATTAAATTTTAACAAGAATCTTCATTGTCTTAACCATATTTAAATACATAAAGATGTCCCTGCACATAAAGTGAGAAATTCAGTTCTTATGTGTTATCAATGAGAACATTGAGTATGTTGGTGACCTTGACCTTGTTATACAGATGAGAACTTTGAGTATATTGGTGACCTTGACCTTAACTTGTATTACAGATGAGAACTTTGAATATGCAGGTGACCTTGACCTTAGGTTACAGATGAGAACTTTGAGTATGTAGGTGACCTTGACCTTATGTTACGGATGAGAACTTTGAGTATATTGTTGACCTTGACCTTGTTTTATAGATGATAACTTTGAGTATGTAGGTGACCTTGACCTTATGTTACAGATGAGAACTTTGAGTATGTTGGTGATCTTGACTGTGTGGGCCTCCTGATCAGCGCTATAGACACACATACCAAGAATCCAAAGGTTGTGAAGAATGCCTGTATGGCCCTGGCCAGTCTGGTGGAACCTGATGGTGAGTAACTGTCTGTCAATCTAAATCATATTATGGAAGTATAATTTCAACATTAGATCTTTTAACTTGACTATATATGAAGCACTATAACTATGGTAGAGATACAGTGGTGACAAATCAATTGTTGAATTGTCAGAATGACCTTCCCCTTACATAGACATTATTGTATTTTAAGTATTATATACACATTCTTGATTTAAAAACCATGGAGGTTTTCTCAAGGAGAAAAAACGTGTTCTTTTTGGGGTAATTAAACTATTACCGTAAATATCCTGCTAGTAGCCCTGTAGGGCAAACACTTTAACTTTAACTCGTGGTAAGGGATGAGCTTATTGCAGGAAAAAAAAGAAATATGTTTTTATGTATGGTTAACTTACCCGATGTGGAATTCTTTACAGAGGAAAGTGCCTACAGAGTATTGACAAATGAAGCGACAGGCGGAGGTCACATTTCAGGCATTCCCAAGGTCATGAGTGCTTATGAACTCCACAAAGACAACGCTGAGGTGGTGGAGAGTATAGCTACATTACTCATGGAACTGGCCGAGTATGGTAAGTGTCGGGAACATCAAAGTCTTAGGATTACGGTATAACCAAACATTTTACCATATTTATTGCCAACATATTGAATGGGGGATCAGTATTTTTTTTTTCAAATATTGTGTATTTACTATACAAAGAAGATGTATCAATTTTACTGTATTTATTACCGACTCAACAAGAATCACAACAGCATAATGAAAGTTGCATTCTTGCAGACATACCTACCTAAGATATTAACAGGCAACAGGTTTATGTCACAAAATCAAACTTATCATATTACATGTACAATTACAATAGAATAACATTTATTTTATGTCTTAACATATTAATGTGGCAATCAAAGCTCTGAAGATTATTGGATTACTGAATTATTAAATAAAAAATATCTTGATGGAATGTTTAATTGATGTAGATGGTGGATTGGTGAGATTTGAACCCAAGACCTCCGGTAAAGTTATCATATTTAGCTATTTCAGGTAGTACACGTACATGCCAAAAAAAAACATATAATAGAATTAGAAAATCATTCATCCATTTTGTTGAAATTATTTAAAATACACTTCATGTACTAGGTTGGGATATTAAGAGATTCTGCATTATCGTTGAAGAAGTGTGCTTGTGATAGCGAAGGGACTTTGGTTTATTTTTGTCCCATTCAGGATTAAAATTGATATCTGTACCAATGAAAACAGGAGAGAATATTTCTGAAGTGTTCGCATGAAAAAAATGACATACAGGCCACTTTGTTTATCGCGATCCAAACGATAGAACCGGTCAGACTAGGGTTGTTCGTTTATGAAATAAGGTCAGACCTAGTAATCTGATGCTGTTTTTAAGCGAGTCTTGACAAAGGCTTGCAAGGCCTACATAATCCTTAACAGGTACACCAGGATTAATACCCAAAAATGCTACACAGATAAACCGGTTGTTCTGCATAAAAGAACAGGCCCATGATGTACAGTAATTTATCACATACCTGTTGAATCTTGTTATAGTAATACAAGCAATTTTCAGACCATGAAATACAACGTTCTGTATTGCACATGTTCAATACGGAATGTTGTATTTACCTACAAGCCGGAACTACTTTTTTATGGGAATCCCCTTGTCATGGCGAACTGAAAAGTTCCCAGTATTTGCAAAAAAATATCGAAGTTTATAAAATCTTTGTATCGATCTAACAGAAACGGAAGGTATGTGATAAAAGCAAGACCACACACTTTTGTGTTTTTCTAACGAATCAGAAAGCACTCATTTATTGCACGGACTTTATATATATGTTAATGTCACAGGTATCACGAGATTATTTGTTTTTAAATAAATTTACAACCTCCCTAAAGGTACACGTCTTCATTTAGGCTGCCTTAATTATCATCATATTCTAACAGCTCATCTAAGGTTAAAACTAAGTTACTCTAGAATGGTTTGGTCCCAACAATTGATCTGCAAAAGTTAACATTGATAAAGGAAGGTTCGATAGCACTAGTAACTAAATTTGGAACAAAACAAAAAACGACGGGTATAATAAAAATAATAATATTATACCACATTTCAATAGCGCCCTATATAATTTGTAAAATTACTCTAAGGCACTTTACAACACATGAATAGTTGTATTCTTACAGTGACGGTTAAAAATATAGTAGATAAAAAGGCATACAAAATCATGAGATAAAAATGAAAGAAAAGATCATACGTTAGGTAACGTAGTCTGTGACAGTTTATAGGTGACAAGAGATATTCATTCAGAAATATTAAGTAGTTTTAATATCCTTACCTCCTTCGGAAATTTTAATTTCTTTTGACATTCTTACCTGTTTTTGACTTTGAACATTCCCACTCCTTCGTACAATCTTACCATCTTTGGGCACCGACTACTGAAGGATACAGCTTTAACCCTTTCACCACTGTAGACAATAATGGACTCATCCAAATCAATGCATGGTAGAGTCTACTAAAGTTACATAGGGATGAAAGGGTTTAATCAAAATTGATTGGTTCCACATTTGTCATTTACATTTTGGCTACATGTCTTCATTCTAGATGAAATTTGCTACGACTTAGTGAGCTTTAAGATTCAGGATAACGTGAATGAAATACGACAAAAGTTTGCGAGGAATGAGGTGAGAGGCCAACTTGGGCGATACTTTCATGTTGGCCATGTGTGGTGTTGAGGCGATGTTAACTGTTGTTCTGTTCAGCTTCAGTAACGATCTCTTACAGCTTGTGGCTATTCATCAGATAATCCTAAAGGCATTCTCAATTTGTGTTATAAATATAATCAAAATAACAATGAGTCTAATCAAAATAACAATGAGTCTAATCAAAATAACAATGAGTCTTTCTGTGAGCTATGCCACGGTGCAATATCTGTCGTCTGGCATCTGCCATCAAACATTTTGTTAAAACAAATTTATCTTCTGATTCACCATAAGGTTAGGGTCATAATATTTACTTTGTAGCTTGCTGGGATGAAGGGCTATCATGTTTGTTCACGTTAATGATTTTGATCCACATAGAAAGTCACACAGATCAAAATTGTCAAAAATCAACCTATAGGTTTGCGCTGCGTCCGTCTGTCTGTCTGTCCGTCTGAGAAGTTTGGTTGGAATCTGAAAATACCTGGGTTTGTCCAAAATATCAGGAAATTTCACAAAACCATCTTTGATCAAAATGTTTTTTAAGCAAATTGAAGAAGCTGATTGTTATCATTGAGTGTTTGATAGGTTTAGCAGAAAGTTTAGTTTTCCTTGAGAATTTTTAAAGAGCAAATTTAAGAGGATAGATGACACAAATTTAGGATGTCTTTTTTTTATTACATTATACGGAATGTATTGAAGGTGTGACCTAATTTGTATGTGTTTTGTGTGAAACCATTTGTAATCTGTATGACTTATTTTTGCTAGTTTACACATTTAGGGTAGTATATATATATACTGTATCTAGTGCTGTAGAAAAAGACAACATTTTGTGATATCGAGGAAAAATCTGTATCTGTATTAAACTGGTATTTTTTCATTCAGCAGATAAAAATCACTGTACATTAATGTAATGTAGTGTTTGGTACATCATCTCACTTCCCGATACAGATATATAGTTTTGGAAAAAAGTTACAACACACCGGTTAATGTACAGTTGTTACAATTTGTTTCATTCTCCTCGGATAATTACTTTCAATATTTTTTTTTATTTCTTCAGATTTCTGTTTTAAAAATAGAACCGAGCATGATTGACATGTTGAAAACTTTCTTAGCATGCAAAATGCATGTACATTGTATGATGTCTTAGAAGTGTTTAGCTTCTCTATTTTATCGTTCAAGACACAGGAAACTATGGTGTATAGAGTGTCCCCCTCTTTCTTACTGTTTTATAGTCTTAGTGTGGAGCCAGATAAAATGCATGCTCCTTTTATGCCCGATCACAAGAAGCTTGACATCATGTTACCCGAATTTTTTTATTTGAAAGAAAAAACCCATCTCTGTGCTTGTGCACCTGCAAAACAATTCCATTTAACACTAAAACTTCAAAGATTCAAAACTGATTTCTGTTCTAAATGATCCTGTTACTAACAAAAAGAGCATCACACCTCCAAATTTATTTTTCAGTAAAGCTCGATAACAAATGATGCAATTTTACACGCTTTCAAAATTAACGAAAACAAATGCTAATCAAATGAAGTTGAGATACTTTTGTTACTAACACGGTGTCGAGCTGGCTGGGCGTTTGTGTGTTTCGCTTGTTTGTTGTATAATGCCTATTTTCTGTGTTGTGTTACCATAACAGATGATGTGAGGGCTGAATTGAGACATTTGAACGTTGGACCCAAAGTACTCTCAGAAATTTTCAAACGGTTCAAAGAAAATGTGGTAAGATAGAACTATCCTAACTGCTTGCTTGAATTACGTTTGCATGCGAAAATTCTAACACATACTTTTTATCAACATTTACATTTCATACTTAACACTTCTTATATATTTGATTTTTCTGTTCTACTTATTTGTTTCAGGTTAAATTTTTTACATTTATAAAAGCAATATTTCATGTTTATAGTAGTGTTTTTGAAAAAATAATAACGAATTATCCGAAAATTGAAGCATTACTTTACTAGTAAAAGGTATTTTAAGGAACTTTTGCAGTTTTGCATTATATTTATAAATTCTGAAATTTGACGTATGGTGTTATTGTTGGATTGAAGTTGTTATTCTCTACAACTTATTCCACATTTGCCTTCATTAAAACATTTTTCGCAAATTTTTGGTAAACAAAGGTCAGACTTATTGTACAAAAACTATTTCAAAATAAATATCAAACATTAGATCAATGAATTTTGTTTATAGTGAGCTTTTTATAGATTCCCAGTGGTTCAGTGGAAGTGTTTTACTCTAATAACTGACAATTATGTTGCATTTTTTTTTATGTAAAAATGAAATGTTTTTAGTACCATATTATTGTGTGAAATGTAGGATAAACCATATTTTCACATTTTGTTGGCCATGTGATATTATGTGTTATTAATTTAATGTATAACTATATGTAACAAACAAATATATGTGTTAAAGCCTGTTTATATGCGTTTTTCGTTGTCAGGACATCATGGCGCCCTGTGAGAAAGCACTGTCCCGTTTACAAGCAACCATCCAGCAAAAGGCACAAGCAGCCGCCCAGCAAAAGGCCCTCAAAACATAAATCTAAAAATAGAAACATCTGTACTCATTAGTGTGTCATCCTGATGGAGGAACTAAAAGTTATGGATGTATTTTATGTACGGACTTGTTGAAACCGAGGAGGAAAGAGTGTTTCCTTTGAATTATAAATGACTGTACACACTGTCTTGTACAGATCATAGATGGCGGCAACATCAAGTTTTTCGGCTACTGGAAGACTCGACAGCGTAAAATCACATGGAGTGAATATTTGCAATTATAGCCTTGTGCTGGAAGTTAAAAAGTCAATATTTGTAAGAGCAACGATCTGTTGGAAATACTATCTTGTTCTGTTTCAGAAACACCAATAGTTCACCGATATATACAAATTGTAATTCCTGGGACACATTTGATGTGGTTTTATTATATTATATGTGGTATCAGCTCCTATATAGTAAAAATATTTTCCTTGCACTTTAATAATCTTTTTTTTTTTTGCTTAAATAGTTTTAACTGTTAAAATTTAAGCCACTCACTAAATTCAGAAAGCCAAAACCATATACGTGACTTGAAAATGTACTCAATTTTATAAGTTTAATCAGGGATGTGTAGTGGACTAATTGACCTTTGACTTTGTTGTTTTATTGGTAAATAATCAGTTTATTTTCAACATTATATGGATAAAGTATAGGAATGTTTGACTGTGATACGATTTTTTAACTGTCTGTGCAATATACATCCACAGTTCTGTGATAAAACCACCATGTATAGGTATGTATCTACTGTATATGAAGTTGTTTGACTTTAAAGATAACTTTAGGGTTAGGTTGTAAATTAAATGTTCTCAAATTTGGTTTAATTTTATAGCAACTTTTTGGACTAAATACAGGTACTGTTTTTATGAAAATGTGCTTTATTGGGTTTGATACTAGATCCATTGTTTGCCTTGTAAAATTTTATCTATTTACTTAAGTTATCTATTTACTTAAGTTCATTTGACAGTTAAAAATTTAACATATATCAAATGAAAAGTATGATTATTCGATAGCATAATGATCTCCTGCCCTTCTATTTATAGATTACTTGTCATTACCTTCACTATATGCGAGACATTCCAGATGATAATCTTTGAGTTAATGTCCTTGTAGATATTGAAAGCGACTTTTAAGGTATTTTTTGTCTCATCTCAAGTCTTGATAGCAATGAAATATATTCTTTTTTTTACCAGTGTTGTTACCAAATAAGGTATTACTTTTTTGGTAAATTATTATGCTATATATGGTGTTCAGAGAGATCTGAATATTTCTGGGTTCATGGGTGTTAATTTAGGCGTTATTGCCACACATGGATTTTACTGAATAGAAATGGTTACTATGGGATTCCGTCCAGTTATTATTAATTACCAGTCAGGGGTGTACAATTTCATATTCAGGGTACTAGCCTGAAGTACTAGCCTGAAGTACTAGCCTGAAGGCCTGAAGTACTAGCCTGAAGGAAGATTTTGAAAACTTCTACTTCTCTCACTTATACTCTATAGTGTTTGTTAAAAAAATTCTTAAGTTTTGACATAAAATGTACTAGCCCCACGGTATTGGGCTACAGGAATTGTACATCCCTGCATGTTAACTGTGATTCCATCCAATATACAATCATATAATGTCTAGACATTTATTTTCCTGGAATTTTATGTAGGACTTGTTTGGAAAATTATGAAAGTTTTTATTTCTTTTTGTAAATGATGTGTACAGAATTTATTTATTTAAGAAAATAGAAATAATAGTGCTTGGTAAACTTTCCACCATGTTAAATATTTCTTTACCAATGTGGGTTTTTTTTCTTATCCGAGTGTGATACTGAAGTTGAAAATCTTCCTAATATACATACAGTTCGGTAAATTATTTTGTATGTTCAGTTTAGATATGATTGTTGAATTCTTATTTATAAATTATGTTAATATGAAATGCATATAGTGTCCTTATCTTGACAATAATGATTTGAAGACAATCTCTTTTGTTTGTGGTTTTTATTTCCTAACTAACCCTTTCAACACTGTAGACCATGATGGACTCCTCCAGATCAATGTATAGAAGAGTCTACTTAAGTTACCTAGGGGTGAAAGGGCTAACATAAGTTGAAGTTTGTTACAGACTTCACAAGTTGCATTGTCTGGTAAAAATTTGCTCATTTTCATAATAGAATGAAACTGTTAAATGGTTTTGCAACTCCTCATAAAAGTTTCAATGATATATTAATTACTAAAAGTAAAAAGTTCTTTATGACCGACACATAATTCATCAACTGTCATCTAATGTATTATGAAAATCCAGAAATATTTTAATTTCGGGTGATGCTTGCTGCATCTAATCACAGTCATATTAGAGTTTTCAGTTGTGAAAAGTAAATGATGAACATTTCATACCAAAAAACAATGCATTAAAAATTAATCTGTTTATTCACTTATCGTATAAATTTATGTTAATTTGAATTCGAGTAATGAGTTTAAACACAGTTATTAAGAATAAACCTCAGCAGTTCAAACACATGTGTCTGTACCCCTGTGCAGATTCCTAAGAGTTGGACATGGAGGAATAGCAATGTCATCTCTGATAAAGTTATACCTATTTTGTCTCACTGTGTTAAAATGAAGTAGTTGATACTTCTCTCAAGTGCAATTTATTCAACAGCTGTATCATTCTGTGACATTGAAATAGGCTGATAAAGCTATAGGACTTTTGTCTCGCTGTGTTTAATGGTACACATCTCAAGACCAAACTATCAACAAGTCATATCATTATGTGACTGTTAGCACTGTAGCAATTTTGTCTCTTGTTGAAACGTAGTAAATGATACACATCTCGATCGCAAACTATTAAACAGCCTTGTCATTCCATGACAATGAAGTTTCCCTTACATGTAGACAATGTAAGGTCACTTGTAACTTGAAGAGTAATACTCGTCCTCCAGTTCAAACAAGTCGACAGCCATATCGTCACGGAGTGATAACAGTTTGGCGTCGCATTCACCCTGTAGATCTTTGTATAGTTTAGTGTTCTTTGTGATGGAGTCGTTCACGGAGGGAAAGTCATTGAGAATGAGAAACTGCTTCAGATCTGACACCAGCTTCATCAGAGATTCTCCAGCTCTCACCTGTCAACAGCAAAAATAAAAAAGTTGACATTATCAAAATTCAGTATACAATCATACAGACCTATTTTATGGTAATCATATAGCAATATGGTACATTCAATGTAATAAAAATAAAAACATTTAAAAACTCTGAAGAGTGTTTTGCTGGTAAGAGGGTGCCATGTCTGGTTTTCCTTCAACTGTTTCTGGGAAAGAAAATTAGAATCCGTTATTTTATTTTTTTGGTATATGTAGGAAGCCTGATCAAACCTTATAAGCAGTATACTAGCAAGTCTACCTTAATAATTAATGCTGGTTTGATCAAACTTGGTACGGACTGGGATGTGCCAAACACATCTCAACACCACTGAGTTTTAGTCCAGTGTGCACTACAAGATTTACCCTTAAAACATACTTTATCCTTCATTTTGTTTAGGAAAACCTAACTTTACTTAAAACACATTGTAACGTATACATATGCAAGACCAGACACTTGTGTTTTTCTAACGAATCAGAAGGCACTCATTTATTGTGTGGACGTACTTGTGAATATATTCGTCCGCACAATAAACTTGTAAACAATAGAAAAACACAAGTGTGTGGTCTAGTTTTTATCACATACCTTCCGTATTTGTTAGAGATCGATACAAAGATTTTATAATCATAGATTTTTTTTTGCAAATACATGTACCGGTACCAGGAACTTTTCAGTTCGCCATGACAAGGGGATTTCCATAAAAAGTAGTTCCGGCTAGTAGGTAAATACAACATTCCGTATTTCACATGTGCAATACAGAACGTTGTATTTCATGGTCTGAAAATTGCTTGTATTACTAAAACAAGATTCAACAGGTATGTGATAAAAAGTAATACAACATTGTACGATTACCTCCTAGCAGTTACATACTGTACTTATTTCTAATATATAATTTTAAGACTTAGCTCACCACTGGATCAGAATCAGTAAGAAATACAAAAAAAAAATGTATTTTCCCACTGTAAACTTATACAGTACCTAACTATCTTCTGAGAAAATGCCTCATACAGCACTTGTTTTAACCTTATATTGTATAACATCGAAATAAAGTGGTGCTAATGAGAATTTTGAGGATCTGCTACTCAAAAGAATTATATATTAATAGATTCTATGTTGCCTACCATAAGGCATGTTGGGACCCCCATACTCTATAAATGGTAGACTGATATATGTTTATATTTTACACCATCCTCTATGTATGTACATGGGCCGATGTGGTATGTTTATACTCTTGGTCACTTACAATGTTGGAGCCGCGGACCTGCATTTCGTACTGGTCTTGTTCTATCTGTGTTGTCTTGGACACCTGGGATTCTTCTTCTCCCTGAGAAAGAAACAGATGTTTATTTTTCCCACTGATCAGCAGTTCCATCTAACTAGAAGTTCATTCTAACCAATATATTTTTGTTTTCTTAAAACATTTAAAACAGCATCAAATTACATTTAATAAAAAGATTTTCTATAAGTATATGAACTCACTCTTGCTAGCTTGATGGTCTCTGTAAAGTTATCCAACATCGACTTGATGTCATCTTTGAGTTTCTTATTGTACAACTTGAGGAGGGCCTCCTTGCTCTGAGGAAGGGCACGCTGGCTAGCCATGGCGCAGATTAGTGGTGGGAAAATATCAGGAAACGATCATTATCATGCATATGGCAACCTACAAACAAAAAATGTCATTAGTACATCAGTACAAATGTGACCTTAGTATAAACAATGGTAGAGCAGTCTCAGAATGGGTCATGTAGTATCACGATTCAACTTACTAATTATTAGTGATTTAAGATGAAGGCTTCTCTATTTGTTCTCTATATAGGGCCATAACTATATATGCTGGGGTATGAGAAATGAATCAAAATAATGCAAAAATTACACGAGAACAGCAAATTATATTACTGAAACTTTGGAAATGGAATGGAAGGTCATGAGCTAGATTGAATTGAAGCATGGGCTTCACGGATACCCCTGCCACTGCACATTTGTTCCTAATGAAATAGGGTTGGGTACTTGAGGTCAAGGTCAAATAAATGCACCTTGACCTCATGGACCTCATTTCATTACATGACAGTGTGATTATAATGTACCTTTAAAAAAGTTTGTGTAATCAATTTAAAATTGGGGCCATATTAAGTTTACAGTGAACCATTTTTAATGCAAAATATTACCTGTAATTAAGGTATGATCACATTTAGTCCAAAGTCCATATATCAAACGGTAGATAAAATATGGGCAAGAGACTTGTATTACATTGAATTTCAGTAATTGAGGTCAAGGCCAAACATAAAATAGAGGTCACAGAGACCTTATTTTAGAATGCAACACACTGCCTTACCGTGGTGTGTATATCTACACACGAAAGTTGATGCCAATTCATGAATTGGTGGCTGAGATATGCTCTGAAAACCATTTGTATCTGAGGTCATTATAAAAGGAAAATTAGAGGTCACTGTGTCCTTGTTTTAGGATGCAACATAATGCCTTATGCAAATGACCAACTTCTTGTTGTGTTCCTTTCTACAAAGTTTGATGCCCATTCCCAAAAAAGAGGCTGATATACGCTTTGGAAATCTTTATTTTTTTATTACACTACTTAGTACTTGAAGTCAAGATCAAAGGTCAACTAGAGGTCACAGTGACCTTATTTTAGGATGCAACACATTGCTTTCCCGTGATGTAACTATATACAAAGTTTGATGCCCATTCCTGAATGAGTGGCTGGGATTTGCTCCGAGAACCAAATTCAGCACGAATGGACAGATGCACACACCGTGAGATGAAGCTAAAGCAGGGGTTTTAAAAAAAGCAGAGGAATTAAGTTGATTAGTATACCTTGCATATTTGTCTCTATATAGAAGTTATACAACAATAAATGAAATTGTAATTGATGGCTGAATGCCAAGCCTATGTCAGTGGAAATAGCACATTTACTGGGCACTTTTTGTACTTTGTTTTCAGGGATACTATTTACAGATATTATATGTCTGGAAACCATGTATATCTCGACATGTCGGGACCATCTCAAAAAGTCGAGAGAGAGTTCCCAACCTGTTATAAATAGTGATGCCTTCGTAAGCAAAGATAAGGAATATGTAGCGGAACAGGACTTGGTCGATCGCTAGTAACCAGGCAGCTCAATTTGTTAAAGCAGCCATCTAGTTGGCAGTATTGTTTGAACGGTCCTGGATTCGAGGGGATACAGTTTAACAGACCATTCTGTACTCTGTCTTTTCAGTACTTAGATGTTTAGGTACTTACTTATTTCAGCACTTCCCAAAAATGGTTTTGATATTTCTAAAGATTTTCGGCACAAGGACTAACCTTTTAACTATGGATTTATTTTACATTTTGTAACCTTTATTTTGCTGTTGTTAAATTCAAGAATTTCAGCATTTTTCAGTTTTACTAAAATGTACCGAAACATCCAATCTGTAACAGAAGATGGAAAAATACAGTTTCCTCTTGCCCTAACACCAGACATTTTGACATATATCTTCTTCTTCTTCTTCCAGGTAAGGAACCGAATTCAATAAATGAATGTATTTGGTTCCGCGAGAACTTTGCGCAGTGTCGGACAACACAGAAAGTATTCTCTTGACTATTTACATTAAAACGTTCTCTATATATGTATACAATTAAAATTATGTACAGGATGTTACTGTCTAGATTTTAGCAGAGCATGCCTTCAGGGAAGCTCTGAATCCTTCAACTGTGTTGGCTGATGTCGCTGATGTTGGTAGTTGGTTCCAGTCCCTGATGGTCCTTGGGAAGAATGATTGGCCGAAGGCGTCTGTTGTAGCCCTTTCTTGGTAGAAACGGTTTTTACCTCTGGTCCGGCTATCATTTCGCGTCAGATATTGTTGCCGATCTATGTCTATTAGATCATGTTGTATTTTAAACAGCATGGATAGCCTATTTTGTTTTCTGCGGTCTTCAAGGCTTTCCCATTTTAATGATTTTACCATGTTTGTTACACAGCCAGGTGTGCGGTCTGTATAGTTGTTGTTTACAAGTCTGGCTGCTCTTTTCTGCACTTGTTCGATTGCCTTTATTTTGGTCTGTTTTGTTGGATCCCATACCGTGGATGCATATTCAACTGAAGGTCTTACTATTGTTGTATATGCTGCTGCTTTAACCGTTTTAGTGCAATCTTTTAGGTTTCGTCTTATGAAACCTAGTGTTTTGTTGCCTTTACCCACTATATTGTCAATATGTCTGTCCCAGGTTAGGTTATCGCTGATTGTTACTCCTAGGTATTTGCTAGCTTCAATGGTGTCTAGTGTGTGTCCATGCAGTTGGTAGTTGGTTGGTATTACAGGACGGTTCTTGGATTGTATTCGGATTACAATGCATTTTTTCGCATTGAAGCTCATTTGCCATTTATTTTCCCAGTCCTCTAATGATGTTAGATCTTTCTGCAGTAGATCACTTTCTGCTTGGTTGCTTATGGTTCTATAGAGGAGGCTGTCGTCCGCAAATAGTTTGGTCTCTGATGATTTTGCTGAATCTGGCATGTCGTTTATGTAGGCTAGGAACAGCAGAGGTCCAAGAACTGTCCCTTGAGGTACACCAGAGAGTACTGGTACCTGTTCAGAGACAGCTCCTTCTAGGATAACGCTAATAACACAACATATATACTATTATGTCACCATAATGTCTATTGTTCATTTCTTTCGAATCCCCGTCAGGCCTTGCAACTATGTTCACAACAAAAACTACTGTTTACACTCTTAAATGTTGTGACTTGCCACGCAGAACTGACATGACGGAGATTTCGTAAACACTTAACTGATCCGTCAAAATAGGTGACGTGAAACAAAAACGAAAGGTTTTACGAGCTGTTGATAAATTTTGAGGCTTAAATTATCGAATTGTGAAATTGGGTATCTTCATGTTATATTTCTTTTAGATTGAGATTATTCGTGTGTCAGAACTAAATGTCAACCTAGGAATATAGACATCAAATTCTACCTTTGTTTCAGGATTTTGGGAAGTCGCCGGGAGCTCCAATCGCCGTCAATGCAATGTTTGTAAAGCAAGAACTCATTACAAAGCGTTTTCCTGAGAACGAAACAATTCTATTTCCGGGAAGTGGGGACGAGAATCTCCCTTTTTCCGGGGTCAGCCATCATGGTTAGTTGTTAGACATGAGTGTATCTGTTATCGTAGATATATCGCAGACATCCGTATGAGTTGATACTCAAATATCACATTAAATAAGCACCAAATATACATTTATCTTTTGACACTTATATTTAAACGTCCTATTGATATTTAAAGCAAGATTAAGCTTTTTAATGTGGGAACATGTTACGTTGTCGACGTTTAATATAGCTGTGTTTACTGTCAACATGTGGTCTTATTCGATCATTTAGGCGCACTTTAAATTAATTCTGAATATTGTCACTGCTAACAGGTTATGTGGAACGATTTAATAAAAGCTGCATTTGAGACGAGAGTAATTATCGTGTTTTGTAAAGCGTCGGCAGAACAATTGTTCTGTAAATTTAACTTCATTTTTTTTGTAAAGCGTCGACAGCACGCTTAGTCTTTGGAAGGGTTCACTGTGAAACAAATATGATTTTAACTTGCAAGATCTTAGTGTGAAAAGAAATCTACTCTATTGTGGCATTCACTGATAGNAAAAAAAACCAACACCCCCTACCACCCCCAAACTTAATGGAAATAACCCCCAATCGAATTCTACATCACTTAGCCTTAGCAGTCAATGTTATTCCAGCCTTAGTTATTATTTGTCGGTCTTTTTGATTACCCCAAGTCCACAGGCATCTGGTAAGGTTTGGCATTGTTTTCAAGCTAAATGCAGGTTTCTGGGCAAGGTCTGTGTTGTGTTGTCAAAAAAAAAGTGAGGCAGTTAACAGCGGGTTTCAAATCTGTATTGCTCTGTTTAGGTTGGTTCAGTTTCCTCAGCACTGGCAGGGCAGTAACGCTGCATCGCAAATGAATGTTTGAATGTTATCAGTGTTACTCCTATAATATAAGAGGCTGCTGGTAGGCCTTTTTTTCTATCAGATATGATTTTGCCAATTTTTTGACGATTTTTGTATTAACCAGAAAATAACAGCAAATGTTGTTGTCTGCTTCACTTCAAAAGAGGAAAAACTTCTTTTGTATGTGCTTGTTGAACATTTAATTTATGTAAACACGATATGCTTTTTCTAAATCCAAACTTTGAAAATTTGATTGTCACAATCAGGAAAATTGGGAGTAAATCAGTATATGCAGCCTCATCATCCAAATTGCTGTTCTTGTTCTGAGACTGACATGCTAACAAATGCCAGGGTGTATAAAATATTTCCTTTGAACCAAAATTATTGTTTTGTACCAACAGTATTGAGCTTTGGTTGTTGTATCGTGAAACTTATCTTATTGTAAGTAGGTACAGTGTATACTTTCATCCCATACTTTACATTATCTGACCACTATTTAATATGTTGACATATTATGTTGGCATTTCAAAGAAAATATTGCCCTGTTTTTCGACATTTATTTGTTTCAATTTATAAAACGTAAAGAACAAGTAGCATAAACAGTTTTGTTTACAAACAACCGATCTGTTCATGCTTAACATTGATTTTTTTTTTTATTTCAGCCAATGAAAAAAAAGGGGAAGAAGAAGGTGGCTGCGGCCCCTTTGATGGCCAAAAGGGCTGTCGAACAGAAGAAAGTCGTCAACCCCCTCATTGAGAAACGACCAAGAAACTTTGGAATTGGTAATTATCTAGATAAGTCACTGACATTGGGAGTTCTTGCAAAGCAATTCTTAACATTGTACAAAAAGTTTTTCCTGTATCAAAATGCAAAAAAAATATTTAATCTTGTAAAGTAAATAAAAGATTATTTCATCGCCTGCCCTGTTGATGATGCAGATTTATGAATTAAAAACAACGCAAAAATTAGTATACTTGCATGACACTGGTTCTCTTTTGGAGATTTTTTTTCCCATGTTTCCTATGTTAGTTTTCAAATTTTGAAAGCAAGTGCCTTAAAACACATTTCTTGTTTCTTTCTTATTTGAACAGGTCAGGATATTCAGCCCAAGAGAGACCTTAGCCGTTTTGTCAAGTGGCCCAAGTATATTCGCCTCCAGAGGCAAAAGGCTGTACTTCTACAACGTCTGAAGGTTCCTCCTCCAATTAACCAGTTCAAACAGACTCTAGATGGAAAGACCGGTGCGTTGAATCAAGTGGAATTTTCATCACGATAAGCTTTTGAAATATGCTTCTAAAAATCGATGCATTTTTGCATATTTCCAAAATTTTGTAGCAATTTAACTAAACGTAGAGCTTGATCAATATTCTTGTGTATGAGATTAATTCAGAAAGTGCTCGAGATATTTGAAGTTACTTTCGTTGTAATTTTGGCTGTGATGAGGAAAAGATTGCTGTCTGAGAAGTCAATGCTGTAGCAAATCTACCACCTAGATCTCTGAGCAAAAATTATAACATCAATTTATTTGATGACTTTGAAAATTGTGTCTTGATGTTGTGTCAAATATTCATTTTGACGGATGTCAGTGTTAATTTGTAATAAATGGGGGTTTGGCAGATCATGAATAAGGCATAGTTTTGATAAATTGTAAACGGGCAAACTACTCCTTGTGAATATTTAACTGTAAAAGATGTGTGGTCTTGTTTATAATAGAAAAATTGTAACAAACAATAGATTTAAAAAAAAAAAAGGCAACAAAAAAACTTTTTATTTTTCATATGTAATTCAACTAATTTATAAAATGTAAGTTCCACTATTATGTCAAGTAATTGCTGTGATGAGGAAAAGATTGCTGTCTGAGAAGTCAATGCTGTAGCAAATCTACCACCTAGATCTCTGAGCAAAAATTATAACATTAATTTATTTGATGATTTTGAAAATTGTGTCTTGATGTTGTGTCAAATAATCATTTTGACGGATGTCGGTGTTAACTTGATAATAGATCTGTTTAAATCTTTTGTAAAATTTGTAATAAATGTAGGTTTGGCAGATCATGAATAAGGCATAGTTTTGATCAATTGTAAACGGGCAAACTACTCCTTGAGAATATCAAGCTCTAAATTGACTAATGTGTGAATATTTAACTGTAAAAGATGGGTGGTCTTGTTTATAATAGGAAAATTGTAACAAAAAATAGATTTAAAAAAAATGGGCAACAAAAAACTAGCTGTGATGAGGAAAAGATTGCTGTCTGAGAAGTCAATGCTGTAGCAAATCTACCACCTAGATCTCTGAGCAAATAGTTACTCGGAATTTCCCGTTTACAATCATATTTTTACAGATCAAACTAATTGAAATATCTTTGAATTTTGTCTACTACACAAATTACATGTAGATCATTTTCTGTGTATGCTATGATGATGAATTTACCGGATTCTGAATCAACTGTGAAGCCTTTTTAAATCAGAGCAACATAGAATTTATAACTGGTTTTACACGTGCTTTCTCTCTCCTGTTTACTTGAGAAAATACCATGCTACCCAATGAAAATCAATCTGAATCGCAACATATTTTTATTTGGTTCACGAGTCAATTGTTATTTATTTACTTAATAAAGATAAAACAGCTTGTTTGACAGGTAATTTTAAAAGTCCATGTTCCCGAAAACCCCCAAATGTGAATTAAATTTTTACACACGCACACCTCCCCCATATTTATATAGTCAAGAAAGTTTGGAGTTATAGAATCTTGAAAATGCATCAAATATACACCAAAGTCTAAAATTCAGAGATAAAACTGAAAGCAGTCTTTGACATCCATTTATATTGTTTTGTAGTTTTCTATAACAACAAAACTATAAATAATTGATCTCTGAGCAAAGATTTTAATATAAAATCCCAAACTGTTCTTGTGATGGTTGCTAAAGCTTTTTATAAAATTAGATATATAAAAGAAAAATTATCCTGCAATATTTCTCTGAGCAAATAGTTAGTCGGAATTTCCCATTGACAATCATATTTTTACAGATCAAAATAATTGAAATATCTTTGAAATTTGGCTACTACACTAATTACATGTAGAACCTTTGCTGTGTATGCTATGATGATGAATTTACCGGATTCTGAATCAACTGTGAAGACATTTTAAATCTGAGCAACATAGAATTTATAACTGGTTCTACACATGCTTTCTCCTGTTTACTTGAGAAAATACCATGCTACCCAATGAAAATCAATCTGAATCGCAACATATTTTTATTTGGTTCACGAGTCAATTGTTATTTATTTACTTAATAAAGATAAAACAGCTTGTTTGACAGGTAATTATAAAAGTCCATGTTCCCGAAAACCCCCAAATGTGAATTAAATTTTTACACACGCACACCTCCCCCATATTTATATTGTCAAGGAAGTTTGGAGTTATAGAATCTTGAAAAAGCATCAAATATACACCAAAGTCTAAAATTCAGTGATAAAACTGAAAGCAGTCTTTGACATCCATTTATATTGTTTTGTAATTTTCTATAATAACAAAATTATAAATAATTGATATCTGAGCAAAGATTTTAATATAATTTCCCAAACTGTTCTTGTGGTGGTTGCCAAAGCTTTTTATAAAATTAGATATATAAAAGAAAAATTATCCTGCAATATTTCAAACGTCTCCATTGGTTACTGAAAATGCTGTGATGATTAATTTACCGGATTCTGAACAAACTGTGAAGTCAGAAATGAGCTTTTTAAATCTGAGCATTACGGCCTAATCAGGCTAATTAAATGTATTATTCTATATTGAATATAGAACAAATAGGTTGAAAATTTTGCAAGCTGTAATATTGAATATAGCCTACCATGCAATCCAATGGCATCCATGTTAATGATTGGTAATTCAGAAAATTTTGCTTTCCCTCTTTGATACAATTTTTCTGCAGGGAATAAATGAGAATTATTTGTAGGCCCTGGGCAAGTTTTCTCATTATATAATATGTTGCCAGATATTGATTTTCCATCCCAAGGTAGATATAAATATGACAAGACATTTTTGTTGTGGTTTGCAGTGATGTTTGAATTTCTTCACCTGACCAAGTAATGAAGATCACAAACG